AATATTTATTCAAACTGCGGGAAGTAATGAATAAATACGGTATTCCTTTGCGCGCGTAGACGATTTGAAAAATGAACAACTATAATACTTGGTGTAAATGTATTTTTACATGTAAAACATCTATAGAGAGTCATTCCTTACATATCGATACAAACGCATTGTGGAGATAAGACTCGACTGATGCAGATATTACATGTGATACAGTAGATGCCGCTTATAAGAATCACGATGGGACCAGACGTTTTGATTCGTATAAACGGCTGATTCAATTAAACGATGTAGTAAGAAATTGTAAATATTAATAAAAAAAAACGTTTATAGGTTTGTCAAATTTAACCGTTTTTCAAATTTTATTACGCGTCAATGGAATACTTATTGCTTGGAGGAAGCTACTACAAAAAATTCATCAATTTTTGATTGCTTCTTATTAGTGCGGACTATTTTTTGAACGACTTTAAGAATTTTCTCAACATCTTCGTCTTTTCCACACCTTTTTCTTTTACGATTTAAACTTCCGTTTTCAATGTTAGCCGCTTCTAGGTCATGACGATTTTTCAAAATCCTATTGAGTTGCGTCTGTGAAACTTCTAATTTTGCTGCTGCTTCACGTTGACTGCACTTTTCGAACAAGTCGTACTGTTTTAGTAACTCTTTCTTCTGGAGCAACGTTAAATCTTTTCCAGGCATGGTGAATTTCGAATTTTATATTTGTTTACTTGATGACGGTTCAATATCGTTTGATTCGTATAAACGGGTTTTGATTCCATTATACTGAAATCGGGACTTTTAATTAACATGTAAAAGTATAGAGGGAAATCGGGACCAAGCGTTTTGATTCGTATAAACGGCGGATTCGATTAAGCGAGATTCATATAAGCGGCATCTACTGTATTTCAATTGATTTGTCGTTAAACAAAGCAAAATTAAAAATACAGCCAAAAAGGCAGAGCTCGAAAATGGACGGGCAGCCGACTGCCCGATCTTCGGGATATCTTCCGCCTCGAAGAGATCGATTGGCTCTTTGGCTCGTGTTTCACATACGGCACAAATTCAAATCTTCTGTAAAATTGGCCGTATGTAAGTTTTCACCGAGATCTGCTGAAGAAAAAATCAGGAGGAATTTGACACTACGCACTCAGATCTGCAATGCGAGGACAGACGTATGCGTGTATGAGAATAGAATCGAGACCGAGAACGAAGCAAACAAGAAGCTTGTGTCTAGATGTACTTATTTCATAAACTTCAGACTTTCGATGCCTATCGAGAGAAAAAAATTACAGGAAATAATGTGAGATGCCGCGGCATTAACTATCTTTCAATTATCTTCAGATGCAGTGATACTGTAGTCGAAAGTAACAGAATAAGTCCTAAATTAAATTTTACTAACTTTTTCAGTAAAATTCGCGCTTCATTTACAAACTTAGGCCAGAACTAAAGAAACCCCTGTACTCGTGCGTTATAAGTCTTGCATTAGTTCTGCCCGGCAATTGCACACGCCTTTGGACTTTTTACAATTTACATTTAATGGTCTTCATTTTTTCTTTGTAATTTAAATATTTTTTCGTTAACAAATATTATTAATTTTGTTAAGTGTAAGATTTATAAGTTTTAACATTTTTCATTGCCAATAATTCATCATACTTATATTTTTATATAAATATTATAAATTATATTGCATCATTTATATGATTCACTTTTTTTTTCAACGTGCGTCGTTAAGTTTTTATGATTATATTTCAGATTTGAGAAATTGATTCATGAGTGATATAAGATACGTTCGATCCAATTTCGAAATCTGAAAACATTCGTGTAAACGTCACGGTGCCCTTTGCCACAGTCACGCACCCACGACGTTATACCATAAACTCTGCCATCCTGACCAACTGAAGGACCTCCACTGTCACCCTGTTTGTAAAGGAAAGTATGAACTAAGGCTCTCAAAATGATCGGGTAATTTTCAAACTCACTCGACACGCTCCAACTCCAAAACTATTGAAAACGCAAATTTGAACTTCGGGATTGATATCGCTATCGTGTTTCGTTTTAAATTCTTCGCATTCGCATTCGGGCTACTCTCAATGCGGACGATATTGAAGTTTTGCTTTGTTTCAAGTACTTAACCCCTAGCCGGCAATCGTTGCCCGATCGTTACTTTGTACCGGTCTTAATGGTAATTTAACCGGTAACTGTCTTGCATTATATATAATCGGATTTTGTAGCTATACGGATGAAACAGTCGGCGTTTAATTTTTCCATCTTGTTAGGGTATCAAAAAATATATACTTTGATTATGGCAATGTCATAGGCCAAAAAAGTCTCAGCCTCCACGTAGTCGCTGTGAGTAGAAATTTCAACGATATGATGAACGTCTCCGGCATTGGCATGAGCCGATCTCGTATAAATTACAATGAGCTGCTGTGAGTATATGGAAAAAGCTTATAATCGCCCCACCGCAGTAATGTCCATCCAAAGGATCACTCAAGGCACTTGATATGGATGCAATTCGATTACCGGCACGACCGATCCACCAACGATTCTACCCTTTTTGCAAAACGCCAATCCTGCAAGCCATTTGATTTCAACTGTTTTGTATTTACAAATATATTATTCGTAAAAGGATTGCTCGCCTGTAAATGAAACAAAGCTGAAGGCTAAAATCAACAGTTGTTTCATTGCGGAATTTCGACGATTTCGAGTAGGTGAATATTTTTAAAATGAAGAACTTTTCATGTTGAATAACGTACGTGTTGAAATTTGAATGGATAATCGGAGCATTTATTATATTGTGATGACGTACATCACGACTTTGTAAGTTTTACTTGAAACCCACTTTTTTAAATAATTAAAGGGCAATGTTTATCGTTGACTTTTGAAATATCGGTTAAAATTGTTTCAGTACCAAAAGGCCACCTGCTTATAGATATAGGGAATTGAGACCATTTGGCAATATTTAATTTTGCTGAACCTAAATTCTGTCAATGCATGGCATGCTAACGTGCATCGAATTAGCCTTAGAGTTATGAAGAATATTTGGCAACTCGTAAAACTCGTCAACGCACACGAGCGAATGAATTCTCCGTACAAACGGTTGCCGTGTACACAACACAAATTCAACAAGAAGTTTTCCAATAACTTTTTTACCTTAACTCTGCTCACAGGTGCGCATTTATTTATACGCAGCTCGTGATGCAGTGAATCGAATTTGCCGTGGCAAAATCTCATTTTTAAATATCGAGTGTGTGCATGATGTGTGGCTTGCAGTACTACGCTTATTTGTTAAAAACAAAATTCAATGCCTGTAGGGTTGTTCTTGAACCATGCCTCTTGCAAGTTTTCCTTTCTAAAGATGATCACAAGATCGAGAAGGGAAAGAAGATAATTCACTTGTTGACAAAAAACAAGAATAAATAGGCGAGTGAACAGCATCTTAGGAAATAGCATCAAAGTACTGACCTTTTGATTGTGATTGTGAGCGTCTCAAACAAGACAGATTTGATATCGGTAAAAATTGTCTGTTAATAAAATGCTCACTTGATTGACAAAGAATTTTACTATTTATACTCTACATGTGATGTCTTTGAAAATGCGTTTTTGAAACATTTCAATCAAAATATCTTCAAGTTGTCTTGATGTAATTATATGAATATAATTAGTATTAGTGCTTGTGTAGTCATAAGTATATAATTGTTTATCTGATTTTGTACTTTGTAAAAACTACCTTTGTTTATTAAGGTAAATTTTAAAAATGATCTATATATTTTTTTAAATTTAAATTATTTTACTTTCGTACTTCATCTTTCTACGCAAAAAGTAAATTTCTCAGTAAAGAAAATATCCATGCTGCGTTTATAATAAGGAGATCATGGGATCATGGGATAATTGTACATAACTATTAACTCTGAAAGTAATTTGGCATTGAAAATCGGAAGTTTAATAAATGAAGACAGCGATTATTGATTATGGCAGGCACCCGAAGGAAAGCCCGATCCCGCAGCAAAGCAGTTGGGTAGAATTTTTTTAATAAAAAAATTGAGGTATAAATTTTTAAAATAAGTTTTTTTTTATTTTTCATTCGAATTAACTTATTTTCAAAATTGGCATTCGCCAATAATAAATGACAGAACTGATCTTCAAAAAATTAAGCTTTGAAATCGATAACGTTGAAATACGTACTTATTTGACCAGAACTCGTTATGCATTTCAATTAATTTTATACGAGGGTCCGAGACGACTACCTCGTACGATCACAATTTGAATTTTTACACACATAATCGTTTTTTGTTCGGCATCGGTACATACATAATCCCTTTTTCTGCATTAAAAATTGTGCATAAAAGTGACGCAAAAACTCGCACGTAAAGTCTCTCGAATCTGCAGTTTCGAGACCAAATGAGTGCGGATTATGTTACAATATTTACAATGATAATTCACAATCATTCTTTTAAAAAAAAAAGTAATAATAACAATAAGAAAATCTTCACGTAGCTAGGCGAGTTTTAAGATTCAACGAGAAAACTTATTCAATATAATTTCCCGACAATTCGGGTCAATTGAAAAAATATAAATTACTAATGATTAAAACTAAAAGAATCCGTTTAAAAACATTTTAAGAAACTTACACGCCTAATGGAATGAGAAAGAAAAAAAGAAAAAATCAACAGCGAAGAAATTCAAAATTTCTTCCGACTTTCACGTTTTTTTGTTGTTGTTGTTGCACTTACGAGCTAGGAACCTGCTTTCAAATATTTACAAGTGAGATGCAAAAAAAATGCAGCCGCAGCGGTACAAACGTAATTAATCGCTACGAAGTATCAACAGAATAACGAATTACTTGACGTATTTACTAATCGTATATACAACGAGGATCGGAAAAAAAGAACCATTTACATATATCCATTATTTCATAAATCTCTATGTAGTACGCCTAAGTCGATTGGTCCCTTTCTTTGTATTCGCGAGAACGAATTGTTTTGCTTTTTTTTTTCATTTTATACTTTTTTTCACTGTTTGGCACGCTCTTCGGTATCTTCGTCGTCGTCGTCGTCGTCGTTGGCGTCGTCGTCATCGTCTTCGACGCCTTGCGACTGCTTCTCGTCGGTCTCGTCGTGCTCCTCGGCTTGATGCTGCTGCTGCTGTTGCTGTTGATTCGCGACTACGTCGTCCTCGACCACAGCGGCGAAATCCTCGAGGGCGAAGCTCGTGCCGTCCTGGAAGACGTACTGAGCGACGTCGTGGCACGAGTCGTCGTTCTCGAGGTCGGCCATGTTGCGCTCGATCAGGATCTGATTGCCGTCCGCATCGTTGGTCAGCATGAGCACGGTGCCGTTGAGATTGTTGATGTCGTGCTCGTCGACCTCCAGCACCTCGCCCTCCTCCTCGATCTGTTGCTGCTGCTGCTGCTCCTCTTCCTCCTCCTCGGCTTCGTTGTGATAATTATCATCATCATCGGCAGTAATAGCAGCAGCAGAAGCAACAGCAGCAGTGGCACCGTCGACGTGATCTTCTTCGTCGTCGTCGTCGTCGACCTGATCTTCGACATCTTCATCGTCGTCTTCGTGTTCCTCGGTCACCGGCGCGGCCGGCTCCGCCTCATCGTCACTTTCTTCACCGACTTCATTGTCGCTTTCTTGTTCGTTATCCTCACCCAATTCATCTTCTCCTATTGGATAATAAAGATTTTTAGAACCCCCCTTCATTTTTGTTGTTGTTTTTTTTCAAGTCAAGGTAATAATAACCCCCCTTCGTTTTTTGTGGTTTATAGTATAACAAAAATGTGAAGAAAAATGAACACAAATAATAATTTTTTATTTGGATGTTTATTGGGAATTATGTTTCTAAAATGGAATAACTACATATAATTGTAGAGCGACTAGAATCAGTAGCTATAGAAAATAATAGGAACATGCATAAACGTGTTTCTTTTTTTTACAAACAATTCATTATCATTCATCATTCATTCATAAAATACAAACTTTTACAAATAAAATAATAAATGTGTATTTTTTTTAAATAAAAATAAATTAACTAAATATATAAATATAAAAAATGTGAAAACGAAATAATCATTCGTTCTATCTATCTATCTCTATCTGTACAAGTGTGTGTTGTTGGAATGTTGTTAGCGTGCAGGGAATGTGAAGAAGGTAAAAATATCGGAAACGACAAAAAAAAATTGTTCACAGACAATCACAGAGAAAAGCCATCTCAATGTTTAATTTGATAGTTCACCTTCGTTCCCTGACTCTTCTTCCACATCCTCCTCCTCTTCCTCGACGGCCTGAGGCGTGATCGGCTCGACCATGTGTTTCACGCTGCTCTCCGCCTCGTCGGCCGAGCAGCTGCTACGATCGCTTTGCGATTTTTCGTTCTGGTACGTCGCCGCCACCCGCTGCTGCTCTTCTTCTTCCTCTTCCTCGCGGCCGTCGCTGGCGCTGACGTGCATCGGTGAGAGGGCCGGGGCCTCCTCGTCGTCGCTGTCGGTCATGACGGCGCCGTCGTCGTCGGGCTCAAGCGCGGCGACAGAGGCCGCCGGATGATGTGGTTCCAGCTCCTCAGACGAGGCCTTCTGACTGTGCGAGCTGCTGCTGCTGCTGCTACTGGAGTTTGACGAGCTCGAGGACAGACTGGTGCTGCTCTCGGAGGACGACTCGTCTCCGTCTTTGTCCTCGTCCTCGGCTTCTCCTCCCAGCGTAACCTCGGGATGAAGAAGCTGTTCCTGCTCATCGGGATCTTGTTCTTGTTCGTCATCCTCTTCCTCCTCCTCCTCCTCTTCTTCTTCTTCCTCCTCTTCCTCCTCCTCGTCCTCTTCCTGGCTCAGCGCTTCCTGCTCGACAGCTTCTTTTTCTACCTTCACCTCCATCTCGGCCTCGCTCTTGAACTTGCCGTTGCAGGTCTTCTCGTGCTCGACGGCGATCTCCTCCGTGTGATAGGTCGTGTTGCACTTGGAGCAGCGATAGTTGGTGTTCTTGTCCTCGTGTATGGCCATGTGCAGCTCGAGCTTGGAGCGTGCGTTGTGGTAGCGGCCGCAGATCTTGCAGGTGAAATTGTTGCCGACGCCGCTCCACTGGCTCGGGTGCTCCTGCATCACGTGCTCGCGCAGCTCCTCGTACGAGTGCTTGATCTTGAGGCAGACGCCGCAGGTGGTGCCGGCCATCTCGCGATGGAAGCGTATGAGATGCTGCCAGAGATGCTTCTTGCCGCGCCACGACTTGTCGCAGACCTCGCAGACGCACTCGGTGTCCTCGGTGTCGTCGTACACCTTGCGCGACGTCTTGGGCACCTTGGCCTGCATGGAGGAGTTCATGGATGCCGACGAGTTGTCCATGGCCCCGGCGTTGCTGAAGCGCATGTGAAGCGAGTCGAAGAGGCCGAAGTCTGGTATGAACATGTCCGAGGGCAGATCCGCGTCGGTCTTCAGCTGATTGTCCATGACGGAGGGCGAGGCCACGTTGTTGACGTACTTGTTCTCCGATGGCGAGTAACCGCTCTCGATTTCACCGTAAGTGTTGTACATGGTTTCGTAGCCGTCGTGGGTGTCGTTGTAGCGCATCTTGTCGTAATCGAGCATCTCCTCGTCGCTGCCCCTTCGCGGGCCGTCCTTGGTCACCTCGAGGCGAAACTCGAAGGTCTCGAGCTGTTCCTTGGTCATGTTGTGCACGATCGTGTAGTGCTCTTTGAGCTCCTCGAACGTCTGCGTGATGTCCAAACACAGCTTGCAGGTCTTGAAGGCCTTGCCGTGGCATTTTTTCGTGTGGTCGAATGCCTTCCACTTCGAGGCGTAGTGCTTGCCGCACACCCGACACGTGTTCTGCTGCAGCAGCGCCTCCGGATGATTGTCCTGCGTGTGCTTGCGCAGCTCGTGCGGATCCGGCAGCGGTATCATGCAGACGCCGCAGGTGGTGCCGATCTCGTGCCTGTGCAGACTGAGCCGGTGCATCTTCAGCTTCATCTTGTCCTCGAGCGTGTCGCCGCAGAACTCGCACACGCTGAAGCTGGCCTTGGACTCGTGGTCCTTGATGTGGGCCTGCATGTCCTCCTTGGTCCTCATGACGATGTCGCACTTGCCTATGCGGCAGGTCACGTCCGGATGCTTCTTGTGCTTGAGGCGATTGTGCGCCATTATGGCCATCTTCGAGACGATGGTCTCGTTGCAGATGTGGCACGTGTACGAGGTGTGATGGTTCTCCAGATGCTTGGTGAGACTCTGGCGGTCCTTGAATATGCGCTCGCAGGCGCGGCAGCGCGTCAGCAGCGAGCTCGGGTCCTTGCGATAGTTCTGGCAGCCCTTCTGATGGCGTCGCAGGAAGTGCTTGGTCGTGAACTTCTTGTTGCACTTGTTGCAGAGGTGCTCGCCCTGCTCGGGGCTCGTCGCGGCCGGCGCCGTGAGAGTCGTGTAGCCCCAGTCCTTGGTGTCGGACGACTGATGATGATGGTGATTGTACTGCTGATGATGACCGAGGTCCTGATGATGGCGCGACGAGTCCTGGCCGTGATGGGCCTTCATCTGATGGCCGGCGAGCAAATCCTTGGAGGCGCTCGTCTGGCCGCATTGCACGCAGGTCACGGCCGGATTGTCCTTGTGCGTGCCGTCGACGTGCTTCCACAGATGCGAGTGGCTGCCGTACTCCTTGGGACAGAGGTCGCACGGGTGGCGCTCGTGCACCTGTCGCCTATGCTCGTTGTAACTGGCGATGTCCATGAACTGGACGCCGCGGCAGTCGGCGCAGGCGAGATCCGCGGCGACGAACGGCTCGACCTTGACTGCGGCCCCGGCGGCACCGCGCCTCGTCTCCATGGACAGCGGGGTGACGTTGTTGGCCGCGCCACCGCTACCGTCCACCATGCCGTGTATCTTGCGATGACGGCTCATCTTGCTCTTGTTGGAGTAGGGCCGGCCGCAGATGTCGCAGCTGAACTCGCTCTGGTTGAGGGGCCAGTGGCGCTGGCGCACGTGCTGCCTGAGCTCACTCACGCTCAGGTGGACCTTGAGGCAGACACCGCAGATCAGCGGCACCATCTCGGCGTGCACGCCCATCGCGTGCTTCCAGTAGTCGATGCGCGAGTTCCAGACCTTGCCGCAGACCTCGCACGTGTTCGGATGCACGCCCTGGTTGACGTGGTGCAGCGCGTGCTCGACGCACAGATTCTTCGTGGCGAAGATCTTCTGGCAGGTGTCGAACGAGCACTAGAAAAGAGAGAGAGAGAAAGCCGAGATTAGTTATCGTACGCTATTTTTCGATCGAATAGGAGGAAAAGATCGGTATGAAAATCGGTAGCAACTACTTACCCTGATGGAAGGCTCGTCGGCGTGTATGACGCTTATGTGCTGCCAGCGGACCCACTTGTTGCTGAAAGTGACGCCGCAAATGTCGCACACGAAGTACGTGTGATACTGCGCCCTGGACGAGGAACCGCCGCCGTTCTGCGGCACGGGTGTCGAGTCTCGCTCCTCCTTGATGTGCATCATCGTCATGGACTGCTGCTGCGGAGGCGTGATCGACCTCCTCGTGTCGTGCACCTGCTGATTCACAATCACGTAGTCGTTGTAATCCTTGGTCGGGTCGATATCGTGTATCGGTATGTGCTTGAGCAGCTTCTTCTTGCTGTCGTGCTGTCTGCCGCACATGAGGCAGCGATAGCGTCGCTGCTGGTCGGCCGGCAGCTTGCCGTTCATGTGGTACTGCTCGACGTGCTGCAGCAGCTGGTCGTTGTTGTGGCAGATCTTCATGCAGATGCCGCAGGTGAAGGGGCACTCGGCCTTGTGCACCGAGCGTATGTGCAGCCAGAGCGAGCCCGAGTCCTTGAAGTCGCGCGAGCACAGCTCGCAGGCCAGCACCGTCTCGGCGCTGCTGTTGTTTCCGCCGTTGGCTTGATGCGGCTGCATCGGTGGCGGCACGATCGACGACGCGTCGTCCTCGAACTCGGACGCGTACGAGTCCGATTCGTCGACGGACTCGTTGGAGCAGCTCTCGGACTCGCGCTTGATCATCGAGCCGCGGGGCGGCAGGGTGATCTTGAGCGCGGGCACCGTCTTGACCTTGAGGCAGCGATCGCTCTCGATGATGGGCTGCGGATCGACCCCGTGAAAGTTGAGTATGTGCTGGCTGAGCTCGGCCTTGGCCTTGAAGTCCTGCGTGCACAGGATGCACTGGTAGGGGCGCTCGTGATTGTCGTGCTGCTTCTCGTGCTCGTTCAGCTCGTCCTCGGTGGCGAAGTTGCCGCTGCACGAGTGGCAGAAGTACCTCCTCGAATCGACGGCCAGCTCGCTATTGCTGTTATTGCTATGATTGCCGATGGTGGTGAATCTCTTGTTGCGCTCGTTGTTGGGCTTGGTCAGCGCCTGCTTGAGTATGGTCAGCTGGGAATTGTTGGCCAGCTTCTCCTCGGCCTTCTGGTAGGCGGCGGCTCTGACGGCAGCGGCTTTCGCCGCGCCGGGACTGCCGCCTTGCTGATGATAGTAGTGGTTGTTCTCGTTCTCGGACTCCTCGGTGCCGACGTCCGAGTCGTCGCGGGTCTTGCGTATCTTGCTGTACTTGGGATTCTTGATCTTGCCGAGGTGCAGACTGGCGCAGACGCCGCGGCGATTGTGCCGTGACAGCTCGGCCATCGAGGCGAAGCTTCGCGGACACGTCTCGCACTGGTATCTGGCCTCGTCGGGCACGTAGTCCGGTCGATCCTTGCCCGCAGATGCGGCATTGTTGGAGAAGCCGCTGCCGCTCGCGACAGGTACCATCTCACCCTCGTGCTTGGACTTGAAATGCTCGTGGAGATTGCTCTTGGTCGAGTAGATGCGCTGGCAGATGGCGCAGGTGACGGCCTTGTCGCCCCGGTGCACCGTCGACACGTGGCCCCAGCGATGCTTGGCCGTCGAGTAGCTCTTGTCGCACAGGTCGCACTTGTAGGGCCGCTTGAACGACGTGTTGTCGTCGGTCATCACGACCTCGCCGTGCACCTCGCCGCCGGCCTCGCCGTTGTTGTGGATGCGCGAGTGCAGCGACAAGTGGCCCTTGGAGCTGAACGCCTTGTCGCACTGCGGCACCGTGCACACGTAGACCTTCTGGTGCTGCTTGTTGGGCGTCGACGTGCTGTTGTTGGTCGTGCCGTCGTAGAAGTTGGCTTTGCCGGCGGCGGCGGCGCCGTTGTTGGCGGCTGCGGCGAACTTGAACTCCTCCTCGGCGACGCTGGCGCTCACCTCGAGGAACTGCGAGGGATCGACGTCGCCGTAGCCGTCGTCGTCGTCGTAGCCGCCGTCCTCGTCCATGTCCTCGGGATCGAGATCGAGATCGGCCGGGTCCATGTCCATGTCGAGCGAGTTCTCGTACTTGACGTTGGGCGGCGAGCAGGCGCCAACGGCGCTGCGTCCGGAAGACGACGGGGCTGGACGATCGTGATCGGTCGTCGTCATCATCACATCGGGCTCGCACTGCATCGACTCCATCATGTCAACGTCGTCGTCTTCGTCGTCGTCGTCGTTCGCGTCGTCCTCGGCTCTGCTGCGCTTGTTCGACTGCGAACGACTGCCGCGATGACCACGATGATTGTTGTATTGATGGGTCGACGCGGCATCGTTGTTGCTGCTCTTCAGGAGCTCGTTACGAAGCTCCGAGTGCTTCTGCGGATGATGATGATGATGATGATGATGATTGTTTTCCACGATCTCTCCTTCCTCGGTCTTGATCGCGGGCACTTGTGGCGGCTGCTGCTGTGATCTGTGCGACTGGAAGAGATTCAGCAATTTCTCGCTCTTCTTGCGGAAGTCGCTGTACATCTCCAACGAGTACATGCATCGAAAGCAAATTGTCTTGGGCAGATTGTCGGTAGGCTCGACCTGCAATTAGAAGAAAAAGGAAAAGAGGGCATTTAGTATCGCTGAAGAAAATCCATTCATTTTTTTATTTAAACATTATGATTATCATTATCATCCATATCCTCTCTCTCTCTCTCTCTTGAGAGACCAGGTGTACGCGCGCCGGTAAAAATAATTCGGAGGGATTTCGAACGAGGAAAAGGCCGAAAAAGAGAAAGAGAGCAAAGTAGAGAAGAAGAAGAAGCGTAGAGAGCCCCAGGTATATAGCAGCATATATATTTACAGCGAGAAAGAAGAGATGAGCGCGAACGGACATCACTTCCTTCTTTCTCTCTTTTACGCGTTGCTGCTGCTGCTGCTGCGTTGGCCCTGCCCCGGCCGAAAAGGCTCTCCCCTATATACATACACGAGAGTCTCTCCCTTTTATTCTTTCGTTCGTCGAGTGTATACCTACTACACACACACATTTTTCGGACCCAAAGCTCTCTGGCTCGCTCGCTCGCTCGCGTACAAAATTCTCTCTTTTTTCTCTGTTCTTATAGCCGTCGCCGTCGTCGGCGGGCCCGCAGCAGATGTCTATAGGTATATACAAATGATACGCGGTTAAATATCGAATGACATAGGAATTTTTCTTCCTCTTCTCTCTCTCTCTCTCTCTCCTCTTCTCGTGCACGAGGTATATAACGCGTCTGTTCTCGGCGACTGTTTTATCGACCGGGCCGCGATAAACTACTGTACGTTACCACTACCTCGAGTCGCGGTCGTCGTCGACGACGTCATTCTTGCAGAGAAGCAGCAGCAAAAAAAAGAGGTCGTCCGCGCGACTGTGTGTGTGTGTGTGTGTCCGTTCGTGTAGCACGTTATATAGCCCGTGCGCGCGCGTCGCGCGAGTCGAGTCGAAACCGAGAAATTCTCCGGCCTCGACGTCGCCTGCCTGCCCGCCTCGTATCATGATATGCCTTGCTGCTGGCTGGCAGCCGCTCCGACGAGGTGGGGTCACGAGCCACGGCAGCAGCAGCGGAGCTCGGAGGCATCGTCATCATGTCGGAGAGAGACTACGACGCAGCGGCAGCGAATGTTATAACGACCGAAGTCGGTTGTGTGTTTTCGAGGAGAGAAAATTTTTTTTTCGCGTATATACTATGTACCGGCTTCGCGTCGATGATTTTTCAAATGCGAAATGCGATTCGCGCCTTTTTTGAAAATCATAACGATGGTAGTATAAGATATATTATCCAATAGGCAGAAATTCAGTACGATGGAATTTGTACGTCGTCGTCGTTATAAAACTTCGTCAACTATCGGGTCGACCCTGCGATTCTCGCTTTCCAAGCATATGTCGTATCGTGGCTTCGACCGAGCAGAGGAGAAAGAGCTACGTATAGGCATATAATACCACGCACACCGCCGCTATATAATATATAAAAGCGGAGCGCCCGGGAGGCGACGAGAACGTGGCAGTGGCGCGGCGATAAGGCGCTCTGCTCGGCTCGGCTCGTTGTGTTGTTTGGGAAAAAGCTCGGCAACATGGCACGACGGACGGACGGACGGCGGTTGCGTGCCTGCCTGCCTGCCTCGTCGGAAACACATCTGCACGAGGCGCGTACGCGTGTATATACGTAGTTATCGTCGTATATATACGTGTGTATATAGTCGGAGAGTCGATCAGGCCAGACCAGGCCAGGCGGCGGCGGCGGCGGCGGGCGTCCTCGTCATCGTGCAGCAGCAGCAGCAGCAGCAGTCCGATATATCTCTACTACACACATACATACGTACGAATACAGAGCCAGGAGGCAGGGGACGGCACTACGCCGAGGGTGGGGATCGCGCGGAGAGGCTAAACCGGCGAACGTGCACACACAAGCTCGATTATTGTACACGTGTGTGTGAGCGCGCGCGTGTTTATATAGACAACGGGCCGCAGTGCAGCTGCCTCGGTGACGCTTGGCACGACTGCCTGCTGCCTCTGCTTGCCTGCCTGCCTGCCCGGCCATGAAAAAGAGAGACGGAGAGAGAGAGCTGTGCCGAGCTCGAGCCGAGCTGAGCCAGCAGCGAAAGACAAGTTGAGAGCCCGCTTCGTCGTATAAAGTTTTTTTTTTTCCCTCTTATTCTCCATTGCTTTCCGCTGGTGCACGGCTGCTGCTGCTTCTCGAGGCAAAGTCGCGAGTATTTTGTAATACTCTCGAGAATATCCTCGCCGAGACGTATGCACGAAAAAATATCGTTTTCCCCGAAATATCATATGGATTTCTTTTTGTACACGTTTATATCTACCAGAGAGAGAGAGAGCCGAACCAACGACGTCGCTTATGTGTTATATTCGCGCTCGTCGTCTCCGTATGCACGACGTCGAGTTATGCAACAACAACAGCAGCAGCAGCAGCTCGAGCAGATTTCGGAGCAGCTAAGCGTCTTATAATTCGTCTATATCGTTGCATTGTTGAAACGAACTCGACGACGTATCGAAGATATCGGCATTAATCGCGATTATATCGTACTTGTACGACACGCGACAATTTCAAATTTTCAAATTGACAGTTCGGTCGGTAAAGCCGATATCGTAGTAGGTATATTATAAGCGCGCCGCATTCGTATGCGTTATATACATGGTAAAATGTTGAAGAATAATACAAAACGCGATCTCGTCTCGACTCCGATTTATATACGAAAGTTAAATACAGCAGTTGCGCGAACTATCGCGCGTGCTTAATATCGGAGCGGTTGATATATAAGCGCCTGCTCGACGACGATGACGACGCCCGCGCGCGATGCGACACGATGGCGGCCATGCTTGGCTCTCTCTCGCTCGCTCGCTCGTATAAGCTCGAGCGGCGAGGAGGAAGCGAGGTCAGCATTCTCCAGGCTATATAACGACTCAGCGGTGCGGTATATTGCACAAAGTCATCGTCGTTGTGTATACATATATACCGACACATTCCCATCTCCGCGTCCGTGCGTCTGTGTACAAATCGAGACGTGGAAAAGATATCTTTCTCGTCGTCGTCGTAGTCGTCGTGTAGGCCGAATACAAGGCTGTGCGCCGCGCGCCACCGAGTGGTATATTATAACCACGAGAGATTATCGAAGAAGGAATGAGAGAGAGAGAGAGAGAGAGCAGCATCGACGAGAGATTGTTTCTCTTTGGGTTCGGGCGCGATACTTTTAATACATGTATACACAGCAGCAAAAGGCATATGCGTAATCCTCGAAGACTTCCTATAATAATAATGACGACGATGCCGCCTGTGTGTGTGTGTATACACGACGACGACGAGGCACGTTGCCGCTCATTCCGTTCACTTCTCGAAGAAGTGACTCGAGCGCTGTACACAGCAGCAGTTCGCTCAAGGACGTGTACTACTACTACCACTACATACGTTGTATATGTACACATACAGCACACACGGCCCAAGCACGTGTGCTATTTCCGCGGCCAGAGCAGCAGCAGCGGCAGCAGCAACACAGAAGCCAGAGCCATATATATAATAATAATAACGACGTTATATAGCGCGCAGAGGAGAGAACCCGACCCGCGTCGTGAATCGATCGTCGTCGTTTGGCTGGCTGGCTCGCTCGCTCTCTCTCTCGCTCGCGCTGAACTAGGTATACATCTAACGATATAACTGCGCGACTTTGTTGCTGCTGCTGCTACGTTCGCCTGTGCGATCGCGTCGTCGCGGTGTAGTTCTCAACTTTTTTCCTCGTTATTATTGTATATAAATCTGCCGATCCCCCGAGAGACGCACATGACTCTTTCGTATTTACGGCTAGTGTACGACGCGAGCTTCTAAGCATCGGGAACTCGCAATCTATATAGCTGTCGATTGTTATCGGTACATACGCACAACGTTGTGTAAATAAAAAATGCTCGTAACTTGGTACTCGACGTATGCTGCGTATATCGAGTCAAATGACCCCGTTCGCGGCATCAGCGCAGAGACGACGGTGGTGGCGGCGGCGGCCGGCGCGCAAAATTTCGTTTTTGCCGCGCTTCGTACGCGCGAATGCCTCCCTCACTCTCCCCTCGATCCTTTTCCTCCCACCGGCCACTTTTACTCGCGTGCGATTGCCGCGCGCACGATTTATAATATTATTATCGTACAAATGGGATGCGTAAGGCGTACGAGCGCGCGTATTATTTACTTTCATTGATGAAAACTGAAATCAGTACGCGAAAGTAATTATCTCCGAGGATACTCTCATGGTAGCTAAAGGAAACAGTACATAGTTTCGAGGTCGAGGAATTCGACAAGAAGCAAGAGCATAATAATATAAAATACTCGTAGCCGAGCGCGAAGTTGGATTTTATAACGCGCGATAGTCAGCCACTGTGAAGCTGCTCTGCTCGACCCCGAGCTCTGCTGCCTCGCGAGAATCGATTTTTCCGCACGTTGCGGCGAAGCGAACGAGCGAGAGAGAGAGAGAGAATTATATGTAGGGTACACCCAGTCTGGGAGTTGCACCACCTCGTGTCGGTGCGCTGTATACATATACATGTGCACGGCATACCAAGTAACGTATATATACGCACACAGACGCAGCAGCAGCAGCAGCACAGCAGCGTCGAGGCGAGGCGCGCGCGCCTCGTATACGTGTACTGGTGCTGGTGCCGTGCTGCTTCCTCTCTCGAGCGTCGGTCGGTCGGTCGGTCGCTATTTTCCCTGCAGCTAAACGAGACGGCCCGAGCTAGCAGCACACGAGCGAGAACGAGATAGCGAGCGAGAGAGAGAGAGAGAGAGAGAGACAGAGAGCTCCGAGGCGAGCGCGTCTACTCGACGCTGGTGTGCTGGCCTGTGCCCGCCTGCTTGCCTGCCTGCCTGCCCGCCGTTCGAGGCTTGGGCTTGTCGAGCCGAGAGCTCTGGCAACACCGGGGAACGAACGAGAACAGCCGAGCCGCAGCCGTGACTGCCTCTGCGACTATACGTACAACGCGATATACGGCAGCGAGGGTCTCTCTCTTGCTCGCTCGCTCGCTTGCTTGCTTGCTGCCTCGACTCGGCTCTCGGCTCACTCGGAGAGCAGCCAGACAAGGACGGTAAGCGATTACGACGACGACAACGACTGCTGTGAAGCAGCAGCTCTGTTGCCTCGGCGTTCCACGTACAATAGCTACGTATACGAACACGATGTGCCGCTGCCACCGCCAGCCGCGCCCGTATCCGACGACTACGCGATGACTTTAGAACACGTATATGGAAAGTAACCCGAGCGAGTAATTTATGCTTATTTTTCGGGGCCTCGTATCGAGTTGACGGAGCATATTGTAAATCATCTGCGTGTATATCTTTGAGCGCTTTGGGACTCTCTCTCTCTCTCTCTCTCTCTCCCTCAACGACGACGTCGTGTTCTTCCTCGAGAATAGATGTAGAAAATAATGCCTAGTCATGCACGTACGTGGAAAACTCGAAAAAGTTAGCATCTCGAAAGACTTGACATCTCCTATAGATATATATAAAGGGTGGGCGTGTGTGCGCGCGATGCACGAGCTGCATCGAGCGAGCGAGCTCGGAGACGACGGCGACGATATACTTTCTCCCTTGCAGCTGCTGCGCCCGCCGCCGCGCTCGACTCCGAATTCTTGGAAGTTATTTTCGGAAGAGTACACAATATATCGAACTTAACCGACCCAAGAGCACGAGAGCGGCTCCGCGTATAATATGGGCACGAAATAAATGAAAGTTACACAAGGTACAGCGGTACCGCGGTGAATGTGGTATTGGACGGAGTACTTCGCGTTCTACCGATGTACGTGAATTCGATCGGACAACGAAATTTTCTATTAATTACAATGCAATGACGAGGCACAAAGCGACGTCTTCGACGAGGTGAATGGACGGTAACATCGATCAAAGCCATGTTCACGAATCGATGCGACAGTTTTTTCGACCCTATCACTGTGTTATACCGCAATGGCACACGACGTATCATTTCGCGATATTACATACACACGCACGCATATAGCAAAGTATATTATGACAGCGGGAGAGAGAGAGAGGAGAGAGGGAGAAAGGGTAAGGTAGAAACACGTGTGTTTGCTAATAAGGAGTTATAATGCACACGAGTCAACGGGCGCACGTGGTTTCTCTCTCCCGCTCTATCTTTCGCCATTTAGCGGTCTATGTAAGTATGTACAGTAGTACTACTATACTATACACGTTAGATGGGGAGGAGGGGGGCATAGACGCTTGCACTTGGATGTAAAAATTTCTTTTTAATCTATGGGCCAGAATCATTATTGATGTGAATTATTTTGATCTATGGGCCAGAATCATTATTATTGTTAGGTAATGTCTTTCTTTCTCTCTCTCTCTCTCTCTCTCTCTGCTGGAGACCGGATGCGTCACCTGGCATATGTGAGCTCGTCCAAGTACATACTCAATAATACAATTGTAAAGTTAAGTAATGAGCCACGGAGATGACGAAAACGAGAATGGGGCCTTGCAACGAGGAAACGATGAAAGAGATTAGACTTAAAAAAAAAGAAAACGATCTGGCAGCGTCGGTGAGACTTTACCCCTAACAGGAAACTTTTTCATTCCTACACGATGCGAAAGAAAGGCAGTAAGATGAGCATGAAATTGACTTTCGAGATCGGCACGAGAAAAAGTAGCAGACGACGATCGCGCTCGTGCACATGTATCTACATTCGTGCAGCAGAGCGTACATTATAATCTAAAATATTCTAAACCGCACGCGGGAGGATTGAAGAGGCCCAAGTTTCCGCGCGCGTGTAAAATGCAAAATTCGCAAAGCTCTTAACGATAGGGTACGATGGATGCTACGATAAAAATGATGGCACTATATACAGAGAAGAATTAGGCAGAGGCCGGACTTTATAATACACGCGCACGTGTTTCTCGCGCGAGCACTCTACGTTATACATCTATATATAGATGATACCGTCGACAATAATTCGAAACGACGACAATAATCGGACTTTTAACAATAATAGCTTAATGATAATGTATGTTTTATGATGATTATCATGCTTACCTGATAATTCAGCACCATCCTGATCTTGGAGGCGAGCTGTCTCTCGATGCCGTCGGCGTCGAAGAGGTTGATTCGGGCCGACTCGTCGGAGCCGCACAGCCGACACAGCTCTTCGTATTTGTCCAGCTGGACATTTTGCAGGTCTGTATCCTTGCTGCTTGACATCTTTGCGCGTGTGCGTGTTTTTTTTTAAATAAACTTTATGATAAAAGTATTAAAAGTTGCGTTTGCTGAACGATCAGCGGATCGCGCGCGAGTGGGAGGCTCGCACACGTGCTCGCACTCTTTGAATTTTGACACGCGCACGCGGTTACTGTGTACACACTTTTGTTGTGGTTGTTGATATTGCTTTTACGGCTCTTAGGCAGCCGTAGATTGTCTTTTTTTATTATTAATAAGAGAGAAGAAAAAAAAATATTATACTGTAACTCTAAGCACCGGGACGGAGTTGTGCACAGACGAGCGAGCTACGAACAACTGATGCTCTTGGCTGGCTCAGGCTTTCTGAGCTCGCTGCACGGATGCTGCGGGGTTTTATATCGAGATGGTCCGTAAAGGTGTGGACCCCGACCCAGTCGTCGGCCTGGCCAAGTACACGCTGACTTCCTCGATTCACTCGACGGGGCGGTTCATCTGTCATAAAATGCAAATGACCGATCAGACACTCAAGACCATTGACACATGCACAATAAGCACAATAGATTTCACTTTCATCTATCTCTCTTGTATTCTTCGTAATAACCGGTAAACTCCGATCGCGATGATCCTAAGCTTTTTTGATCCACCGTATTATTATTATTATCTCTCGGTGCTCGTGTGCTATATGGCGAAGCAGAACGGCGGTGTCGGATTTCTACTGCTGCTACGGCTACGGCTACGGCTGCTCAGCCAGCGGCATGAGCGGCGCGGAAGAAGGCGATGATGGCGACTGCTACTCGATGCCGTCGTGCCACTGCGGTACATGTTTCTCCACACTACTGCTCCTGCCTGCCTGCCTGCCTGCCTTCTTGCTTGCTTCGCTCGCTTGCCTTCTTCGCCTCGGCGTCTCGTATACGACACAGCTCTCGGCACGGCACAGCGGTATAATACGTACGCGTGTATACGTATGTGTGTGTGTGTCCGCTCGCGTGGTTGTACTCTACCGTAGCGTATATATGTATGCTCGGGGGAAGCGGCAGCTAGAGGAGAGAGAGAGAGAGAGAGAGAGCGAGAGAGTCGACGACTGCGCGCGATGACGAAGTCTCTACGAGACTCTGCCAGGCCTCTCTACATACATCGTTTTCCGGTTCTTCTTGTAAATGACTACTATATACTATTGGGACGATAGCGTCGTTTTCACTGCTGTTGTTTTTGTTATCTTGGTCGCATGGCCGAATCTTCGCTCTCTATCGTATGACCCGCGAAGGGTGGGCGCACAATGGATCACTCGCGCTTTCTCTCTTCGACACCTCTATTATCGTATAGATACGTGTTGGTACAAAAACACAAACTGCCAGGGGGCCGGGTTAATTCGCACGATTTGCACGGGGCGAATAAATAACAACACCAGATATATATGATACATAAACGTAACTATGTACTGTTAACGTGCGGGTCGCTCGCGCGCGCATATAAATGCCGAGAACTACACGGCTAACCGGCCGACAGAAGACTGCTGCCGTTTCGCGGCCGTCGTCGTGGAGTCCGTGTGCCGCTGCGGCTGCCTGCCTGCCTGCCTGCCTCGTTCGCGTCCCGCAGCAGTGCCAACAACCAGCCCACCGCTGCTAGCCAGCTTTTGCGCGCTCGGCACGCAGCACACACGGCTGTGCGGCAGCCGCTCTCTTCTTCTTCTTCTTCTTTTTTTTTTCGCTGCTCTGCCTGTACTGCTGACTTTTCGGTTTCGCGAGAGCAGCAGCGGCAGCCTCGGCCCGCGATATACGTCGTAATATTATGGCACACGGCACAGGCACACGCGTTTTGTGGTTTGCGCCAATGTTATATACTTATTATATTCACATCGTGCTGGCTCGCGGAGCGGAGCAGAGCAGCACCAGCCTCTGCTCGAGCTACGAAATGTGCGCGCCGCCACCAGTTGTACGAACTGTGCAGTGTGTGCTGCTGGTATATTATAGCAAATTTCAGCTGCCGCCGCCGCCGCCGCTGAAACGTCGAAAGCGCGACTGCGCGCGAAATTCGTACGTGCATGTATGGGTGTGTTATGTGTATGTATGTGTGTGCAGGAGAATAAGAGAGAGAGAGAGACCCGCCGCCGGCGGATATGAGCTCGAGGTTGACGAGACGAGAGAGATCGTACCTACCTATACTGCCACGACGAGGAAGAAGCAAGAAGACGACGCCATTTTGTGCTCTACCCGTCGCGAGAGGCCGACTCGATGACGATGATTCTTCCGGAGCACGATGTTCGTGTTTAATGAAATTTGAAATACGATGCCCCCGTTTTGAATGGAACGCGCCACACATGGATGCAAAGTATACGCGAGATTTGAATTTCGAGAAGCCGTTGGGAAATTCCTTACCTATGCGTATATATTGCGTACATTATATCGATTAGAAAGATCAATCTTGTGTATCGTAAAACTAGGTAAGACGCGCATCGTTTTCACGAACTACGTGTAACAGACGCCGACTCGAGATTACCCGCAATAAAGTCTTGTACACGATGAATTATACTTTCTCTCGATAAGAATCCGGCACAGGACCGGAGTATTTTTCTTTGAACCATCTGTTGCTGTGTATAACAGAGACGAGACCTCGAGGAATGATGAACGACGTTTTAACCCGGTTAATTAAGCATTGGAAATTCGACACCACTCTTCAGTTTTTGCTTGTCCGTACTCATCCTCCTCCTGCTACACCTAATCAATTACTTGGAACATATATTCGGAAATGGACGTTAAATTTTTGAGTATTATGAAGATGCATTGAAAAGTAAAAAAAACAAATGCTACGTTGGGTGTACGAAAAAGAATAAGGCCTCGTGAAGTCTTGTGGCAACATTCATTTATTTTTTTTTCTTTTAATCAAATAATAAGACTTTGTTTAGATTCTTCATGCTCTTTTTTCATCATCTTCAACACTGATAGATATAAACTCCTTTCTTTTTTATCATTTTTTTTTCGTGTTATCATCGTGTTTTTTTACGACGAAATAAACACAGCAATATTATACAACTATAATTATACAATTTTTTGTTTTTTTTTTCACATTCAAAATCGGCAAACGCTTGCCGTCCATATTATTACAATTAATATGAGTAACGATGATTGCAACGTTAACTTTCAAAATTATTTCAAACTGATTTTCTCTGTTCGCAAAATTTCAAAAGTCAAAAATTTTTTCCATTTCACACGCGCGCTTCATTATTTATTACAACACACAACAACACACATGCACTCTGACGCATTCATGCATTATTATTTTTTTTTCTTATTACTTTATGCACTTTAAATTCAATGATACTATACTTATTTTTAATATTAAATGTATGGAAAATAGAAAACTCTTATCATTCAAGACAACTTCGACACATTTACTCTCAGGGATAAACAGCGCGAAACCCGCGCGACGTTTTTCTTTCACCCTCTCTTACTTTCATTTTTACTTCGCACACTTTTGCATCAATTATTTGTATTTTCTCACTGAGTGAAGCGAAAACAGTTGTTGCACGACGCATCAGCGCCGCACCAAAAAAAAAACATTAAATCATCTCTTTTTACTTTACGCACGACATTGCAGAGCGTAACATAGTAGTATCCTGACACACGGCACGTTTATTATGGATAAAAAAACTCGTATGATCCGTCATTATCCGAATCAAAATCGGACTCAAGTGCCTCGAACACGCGTTCAAAATCGGATGCACCGCTTGAGCCGTCGCCATCGCTGTTGTTGTCGCTATCGTCGTCATCGCCGCGCTCGTTGCCATCGCCATTGTCATCGTCTTGGAGTCCGTTATTGTCCCCATCTGTCATCAATCAGATAGGTCTATTAGATCATATACACCTTTCTTAGGTAAAATCTTGATTTATAATTTGGTAAAAAATTATACCGTCAGGATTATCTGATGCTATATTTGAGTCGTCATCGTCGCTGGCGTCAAGATCATCCTCGTCTTCGTCCTCTTCGCCCTCGTCCTCGTCGTCTCGTTTTCTGCCAACGTCGTACAAACGCACAACGGACTCTTGGATACGTTCGACATCTCCTCCCATATTTTCAACGACGGCTATTTGTGAATCGAACTTGTTGCAAGCCAAATCATAAATACCGCGCTTCACATCAAAAGTTGCTATTTACAAGAGAAAAAGATACATTTAAAAATAATCTGCCTAGCATATCAAGTAATGCGTTTAATTTATTTTTGATGACTTACCGATGTTGCTGTAGTCTAGCGCGTCGACGGTTTTAAAAGACGTGACCAGATGCTGATCACTGTCGTGCTCTAAATCTAACGATATGGCGTATAGGATACTGTTTACGGGCGAAAATTTGATGTCCATCTGATCGAGTGCTGGCACGGTTTTCAACAGTTGATACGTCCTCAAGTCCCAAACTTCGGTATTCGAAACAACTTCCAGTCCATTTGGATGGAAGATACCGTTGAGCGACTCATTGAGTTTATCGAATTTGTGAATTTCTTTGCCCGAATTCACATCCCAGAGTATTCCGTCGGATAATATGAGCTCGTCGTTCATACTGAAAGTGGCTCGATTTCGCGAGTAATTATTCGATATCGAAGGTTTGAGAGTTTTTATTAATGTCCCCGTGGCCAAGTCATATATCTAAAAAATAATAGAAATACGTTATAGCACATTTGGTAATAATGAATAACGGGCGGAAGTATAATTTATTTCAACTAACCGTAGCTGCCTCTGTTTGTGTGCCTACAATTTTATCTTGGAATTTGCTAAATTCAACGTGTTCCTCTTGTTCTAAGGCAATTTTCATTTCAAAGAAAGTACCAAGACTCCATAATGCAGACATCGTGCTTCCCCATCCTGTGCTGGTTAACAAAAGATCACCTCGTCTATTGGTCTCTAATTCGGATACATACGATTCGTGACAAGAGTAAGAGGCTTCTTCTGCGCCACTGCGAACGTTGAACATCTTTACTTCGCCAGCATATGTACCTAGGAGTAGATATTCTTGACATTGCTGTTGAAAAAAGAAAATGAGACTTGGGTCAGATGAATTTAATTTCAATTTCAACGAGTGGAAAAAAATTTACTCACAGAAAATGTACAACAGGTAAACGAGCCATCGGTTTCGGCAGGCCGGAACGTTTTAACGGGACAGAATCTACTGTAAATGTATTTTCTATCGAGTCGCATACCGTCGAATCCTTGCTGTCTTCTCGCTAATCTGACGGTGACATTTTGTGGTGTAGAATTTTTTTTGCACGGGTCTGGGCACTTGTGTGGTCTACAAATAGAAATATATGCTCATATTAGTTATTTAAAAATCATTAATAAAACTTTTTAAAAGTTTGCAGTTTTTTTTTAATTAAAAAAAACTTCTCAGTGCACTCGAGGTCCAGATAAGATAATTAAGCGCACTGACGAAATAATTTTACTTACTCGAATAGATTAAACTGTGGAACCGTAACCATGGGATTTTTACAAAGAGCGTGTTGATTCGTTAGATATTCCGTGATTATAATGTCCAGTGTCACGTTTGGTTTCGACGATGCTATGGTAAGTGCAGTACTGCCTGGATCTCGAGATATTGGTTTTTGTAATCTACAAGCTGACTGTGAATTATTAGCGGATGTCGGCGGCGGACACACAGGCGTTGAGATCTTATCAGTGTTTTTCCTAAAATAAAAAATTTGTAATAAAATCATTTTGCAAAACGAATTAATAAACTTCACTACTCTTTCTTTGAAACCAAAAAGAAAACACATACTTTTGCGTTATTTGTAATTTAATCGGCTGCCCATTACTCGCTGGACTCTGAGTCAAAGAGTCGACTAGTTTGAGCCTGATATTGTTGCTGTGGCAGGGAGTTGCATTTGGAGCTGAACCAGGTGTGTGCGCAATAAATCTGTTGTTCGAGGTAGGCGTCGTTGATAAGCGAGAAGTCGAGTCACGTTGAGCTGTTCTGGATCCTGTGTACAAAGTTAGTGCTGGCGAGATGGCCGGTCTTGGCTGCTCGAAAAAGTGATGATTAATAAATCAGCATTGATCGCATTAAGTTTATGTTCAATGTTCAACTTACGCTCGTTGTTAAAGGAGTACTTCTGTAAGTGAACGGAGTATAGCTCTGACTTTTAAACAATTCTTCTTCTTCTTTTTGGAGCATACTTGCCGTTTTGTAAAAACCTTTCGACATCAGGTATTGATTTATAAGTTGTATCACTTGCTGTTCGTCGTATCGAATATCGGTCTGAGCTACTACATTTAACTTTAAACGAAATTATTTACGATTAGTACGGGTTATTTATTTTTCAAAACGGCATACTATCTCTTTGCGAAAAAGGACAAGACGAACTTACTCTGTGCAAATTGTGCAGAGATATCTCGTACTCCGCGCCGGTCGGCTTGGCCTTGCCCGACACCCTCTCCATCAGCTCCATGGCGTATTTCTGAAACATGACGTGCTCCTGGCGCTTCTCGGGCAGTATCGACTCCTTCATCAGCTGCTGAATCGTCCCGTCGGTGAACATCGGCAGCTTGCTGATGATCTGCCTGACGGTCTCGCTGCGCGCCAGACCGGCCAGGGCGCGACAGGCCAGCGCGCGAATGCTGTCGGCGTCGGTGATGGGCGTCTTCACCATCATCAACTGCAGCAGCACCATTATGCCGTTGTTCGACCTGAAGCTTTCCCAAATCAATTGAATGAGCTCCTCGCTACTGTGGGTCGTGGTCTTTTTCTTGGTCGAGCCGCCGACCGAGAATCGCGCGACGTTACCTCCGATGCGATTCACCGGGGCGCACACGCAATTGATGACGACGCGCAGCGCAGCGCGCTGCACGTCGGGATCGACGACGATCTCCGACTCGGCGGCGGCCAGTATCAGATTGATCGACATCGCGTTCGACAGATCGGGCACCTCGATGCGATCGCACAGCATTAGCATGGCTTTCGGCATGACCGTGCAAATGGCTATGACGTCCAAACAGGCGCGAACCGTTTCCGCGCTCGACGTCGTGTGCACTCTGAAAATAAAATTAAAAGGTCAATGGAGTTTTCCTTCTACGTTTTATTCGCGAGCTACTCCGCGGATATCTGCGAGAGAGAGAGAGCCTTACCGACTGGAGAAGTGCCATTCTCGCGCGAAGGCGATGATCTGCAGCAGCAGCTGAATACCGCCCAAGCGATAGAGCTGATCGACCGGCGGCCATTGGGCTCTCAGCGGCATGAGTTCCTGCAAAAGTTCCACCTTGGCCTGCACCCCCTCGGCGCTCAGCTTGCACGGCTTGCAGGTCGAAAACGTGGATTGCGTGTTCTCGCGATCGATCCTCATGTTTTCAGCCCGCTGAAGTGTTTCTGCTTTCCAGTACAGGTGCGATTCCATGTACTTTTTCAGAGCCACGGCTACGTGTCGAACAATCTGTCGCGAGGCGCATTCCTCGTCGTCGTTCAAAGGCTGCTCATCTTCGACGTTCAATAATGGTAACGTTGATATCTGTTGTAAAAATTTTATAAAAATAATCCGTGAGCGAAACAGTTCGATTTAAATCGAAAGAACGTTGAAAAAAAGTTTTTGTTTACTAACCACATTGTAAAGTTTTCTCAGACCATCTTGGTTATCGAATTCATCGAGAATTTTTTTGAAGGGAAAAGAAAAGCCGAAGAACATGGTAGCGTGACACCTGCCCGAGTCGTGACTCCTTTCCAAGAGCCACAACGCATAAGTAACCAATTCCTTTATCACTTGCTTCGGTAACAGACAGACTTTCTCCATCGCGTCTTCGCAGTAGGCGAGATAGTACAGACAGATGGACACTCCTGTTGCAGCCACGCTAGGACGAGGAACGTCAAGTAAACATTGCAGACCTCCAATACTGAGAAATTCAATGGAGAATTTCTTGTGACAAAGCAAGGAGGCTAAATATTTCAGTGCCTCGAACGCTAAACGACTGTCTTTGGTTTCTCGAACGTTTATGTATTTGATGATGAGCTCGAGGGCGTTTTGCTCGAAAACATGTCCAAGAAATTCTTGATACTCTCCCATGGGTGTGAGGTATCTGTTAAAGAGAAGACATTAAAATAACTGCTACTAAATGGTAAAATATTTTATCAATGATACTAACCTGAGGATGAGCATTTGCATTGTTGCCAAAGAGGCCGGATAAACTTGAATACTGCCAATGACGTATGATTCCATTTCAGCCCATGACGAGTTGGAGTTGCATTCAAGAGAAGAACACGGGGTGCCAGTACTTTTGTTATTCAATAAAGATGAATAATTGTATCTAAAAGAACCATTTTTTTCCGATTTAGGGGTCGATAATTGACATTTTGTTGGAGTTGATGCTGGACTTTTTGTTTCTGCATTTTGATTTTTGGCAGGTGACGTAGGCACAGATGAAGTTAGCGCAGGTGAAGATAACTGTACTTTATTCGGTGTGCTATTAAATTTATGAAGAGGAGGAATAGCCAATGGTGGTGACATCATTTCGCAAGATTCTTTGTCTTCTTCACTATTTTTGAATTTTTTTCTAACTGGATGGGAGGAGTTGTCACCTGATTCACATTCAGCATTCTCTTCTTCTTCAGATGAATAACCAGCCAATTCTGTTGGACTCTTTTTTTTACTGTTGACTTTGTCCCTGATTTTTCTTTTACTAGAAAGAGTTTTATGCTCAGAATCTGCTGAACTGTTTTGACCAAGATGTGCAAAAGGTCGATTGGCAACATTTGCCTGCCTTTCGTCTGCTGCCTGCTTTTGTAGTTTATGTAGACGTTTCAGCATCAATGGAACCATTTTACCATTTTGCTCACGGAAACCAGTTGCAATATCTTGAACTTCCATTGCAGCCGCCAGCAATCCAGTTGCGTAACTCTGCAGTGGTTCTGAACTTTTTTCAGCCCAAGAGAACATTCTGAGGATAAGACCTTCCATATCTGGCTGAAAAACTGCTGATGTTTCTAGACCAGGTAAAATGTCAAGCATGAGGCGACAGGCCGCTGTATTTAAATGTCTAACATCTTTGTTTCCTATGCCATTTCTGATCCAATAGTTGTCTCGTAAGTAGTCGTTTATGAGTTTTGTCATGAAACTTTCTTTCCTAAACAGAACTTTGAGAATGTGACCAAAGTTACAGTCTGGATCAGTTCTGGACGGGTGCCTTTCATCGAAGGGATCTGGATCCATTTTGTAGTAGTTCTCTGTTTCGACCTCGATGATTTCTGCCAGTCGCTGCAATGTGGGTGTAGGATCATAATTTGTCTGATTCTGTTCGGCCTCCCACAATTTTAGAACTTCAACGACGTCAGTCATTTCAGCCAGTGATTCGGCGTTAGCCATCTGCTGGTCCATCGGCTGTAGTTGTCAAAAAGAAAAAAAAAATATTCAATGATTAAAAAACATTGCATCATTGTCATACATCATAACATTACACAAGCAGCTAAACAACGCTAAATATCAAGCTCACGTTAAACGTAATTTTAAACTGGCTCCGATACGTCAAACGTCATTAATCGCGAATCGAACTCTGCATCCAAACCCCTTGCAGACCAGCACCCCCGTATATGCCGTGTATATGCGTATAATAATTCCCGAACTCTAACCTCGGCAAGCGCAAAATCATGAACTGATCACGCGAAAAGACTTTGTTATATTATTGGCACGGTACGATCTATAGCCAAGAGTTTGACGCGCAAAAGTACGGAGCACATCCACTACGTTTTTGTTAATGTCACTGCGTGCTCTAGCGAAGCTGACAATAACAATACCTCGACGCTTTACGACCCAACGATTATTATATATGCACTACGTACGATTAGACACGCTGTACAATAATAATTTGATAGATGCACGCGAACGCCGGCAGATTCTTTATTACAACGCGGTCTCTTTTGTATATGACACGGGCGAGAAGCGGCGCCGCGACTGATGATTCGATCATTAGCACACACACACACAAAAGCACGGATTTTGATTGATCGCGTTATTTTTTTTTTGTATATCGGCGTTGTACGTATGGAATGACACTTTGTGGGCCACGTGCGCGGCTCTCCGTCGCGAAAATTTGCGCAAAAAGTTATAGCTCGGCCCCAAAAACTTCGAGAATCTCCGAGAGAGCAGACGAAATTCCACCAGCGATTATCGCGAAATCCCACCCACACGCCTTCGTATCTAAAACGATTCGAAATGAAGCGAGATTATTCGGGAATAATAGCTTCCTGGAAATTCTCGACCGACCGACCGCCCAGCTGGTCTATGCAAGATAATTTTCTTATCCAGCCGGATGAGTCGACAGGTGCGACGAAAGCGAGTTTTTAAAGGATGACAAGAAAAAAATAGAGAGAAATCATGGTTCTAAAGTAGATGCCAGTCCGGTAATACGTACCATTGTTATTAAGTTTGATTGGCCGATGCCTCCGGTTCCTTTTCTTTTTCGCGATTCAACAATGCGTTCAACGCTTGTTCCAATCCGCGGTGCGTCGTCGTCGTCGTCTTCAACACCACCAACGCTCAACCCTGCACCAACCAGCAACTCTCGTCGGGCTCGTGTTCTCGCGCAAAAACACGCGCGCGCCTCGATCGATAAAAGGTTATGTTTCGCAGCACGGGTAAGGTAATGTTTCACAGTGATGATCGCTCCGCGAACTAGTGCGCGTGCTCCGTCTTGGACTTCAACTTTCGAGGCGAATATGTTCTATCCTTATCGATAATTCGGCGCAATCGGTTTTCCTCTTTTCTCTCTTAGCACTTGGTATATATGTATGTGACCACTGACGAACTCGGCACGTTTTTTTTTTAATTACAAAAACAACGCTTTTTACAAATACAAAATTTTTCTCTTTCTTTTTCTTTTATTTCACCGAACTGTGAACGCTGCCGAATTTTTGAGGTTTGCGCTGCAATGAAAGGCGGCAGGCAGGCACGCAAGCGGCCCACGAGGAGCTGATACAGTGGGGAAAAAAGAGAAAACGTGCTGCCATGTGTGTAGAGGTGTGTAGCCGAGAGATGGCCAACTGTCAGGCGCACGAGTACGACGCGCGCATGAGCGTTATTTTAACTGCGAACCGAGCGACTCCGTAATTGTCTCGCGCCGATTCAACACGTGGGTACTGCGAATGGTGTAAGTCGTGTTACAGGCCGAATGTGTATATTGTTACGGGTGAGATAAAAATAAAGAAGCTTTCGGTTGTATCACTTTATTGTTACATTCTATACTCTTTGATAACAATAAAATAAAAATTATTTTGGTTACGACGGGCACATACACTTTTTTTCTCTTTCCCCACTCCTTTTCTTCTTTGATAAACATTGAATACGTGATTCTTTTTTTTTATTCTATCCATTCGTTAACTATGATATTATTTGTAATTATTTATCGGCTAACGCAATACATACTTTTTTTTTTTGTTGTAAAATAGTAGATTATTACAAAAAAAAAATCATATAAATAAATGAATAAACTTGGAAAAGTCGATCGCTGCTCGTGATGGCTTAAACATTAACACAAATAAACTTACAAACTTAAGAGGCTTAGTTAATGAATATAAAATACATTTATATATTACGTAGGCTTTTTCTGTGAGAAGTTAGTGCACGTGAAAAATAAAAATCTAAGACACGAAAAATAAAGTGTTTTTTTTTTCCTGCTTGTTGTCAATAAATACAATTAATTGTTCATTCTCGTAGTTAAAATATAGTTTCTTGTCCCTCCATCTGCTTGTCAAAAAACTTCGCCAGATGCCGAAACAAATATACAGATTTGCGCCAACAATATTCAAGACAAATAGAATTCTCTATTCTTTACAAATTAGCTTTGTACAATTTACATTTAATTGCTTATTTACATTTACAATTATAAGTTATTCATTTTTATCACCCCTAGCTAAACATTAAATAGCTATTTACAAAGTAAATATTTTTTTTTTCTTCAAGTAAATGCTCTTGCGGAAATTTTTCATTAAGGGCTATATTCTTTTCAAACGTTTATGTATAAAAAAGTATCAACTTTTTTTTCGCTATAAATAAATCTATATAAATTCCTAATAAGACAAAAATCACTGAACATCATTTAAAACGGTTATCGTTAGTTATTAATACTATTGATCTATTCTTTTCGTAAGTGTTTTCTTTTTTCTTTGTTTTTTCCATTAGCTTTTTTTCTTCTGTTTATTCCGGAAGCAATACTGGTATTATTACACGACGTACGACGGAGACACGATCGTGAAAGCGCATTTTGGCACGGGAACGCGCGAATCGTAAACGCAACTAATAATTTCGATCGTCGACGCCGAGCACGCAAAAAAAAAAAAACATTTTTGACGCTGTAAACAAGAGTAAAAGCATTATCCATTTATTATAAAAATATGCGCAACGCACGCACTCGCCCACTTTCACTCGCTCATACGCACGCACGCACGCACACATACGACACGATGCTCTATAGATTGCGTGAATCAACATTGCGACGAAATCAAATTAAAAACACATAAAAACTAATCAATGATTTTATAATCCTTTCAGATCTATATCAGCGTGTTACAAGTTACATGTATATATATATATATATATATTATTTATATAAAAAGGCACGAGTTAACGAATTTTTTTTTTAACGTTCTATCGAGTTCGACGATTTTTTAGGTTTTTTTTTTGTTTAATTAAAAATTCTACAGCTCCTCCGGGTCGTCGTCGGAGCTCGGTCACAATTGCTGCTCTTTGCACGGCACCCATATGGTTGGGCCCGACTGCTCGGCTATGACCTTCTTCACCATCGCGTAGATGTCCTCGGGCGTGTCGCCCTGCACCACCGCCGTCAGATACTCGCTGAACTCCTCCTCGACTTTCAGCGCGCGCTCGTAGACCTTTTTCGCCTGGTCCTCGGCCATCCTCTTGTTCATCTCCCTGTATGTGTGGAGTAGCAGCGATGAGTAATTAATTTTATATTGTAGAATTCAAAGGGAGGAACTTACATGATGGAGTCGATGGACTTGGGTTTCAAGAAAATCGTTATGGGATACAGCTGCGCCGCCTGCAATCGTTTGATCGCGTTCCCGCTCACGTCCAAGATACAATGTTTGCCCTGAAATTTGAAAAAAAAAACGGATTAGATCGCTTCGCGGGACTGGGTCGAATAGAGGTGGAGGTGTATGTGTATACCTGATCGGCGACCTTCCTCACGGACGCCAACGCCGTGCCGTAGATGTTGTCGTTGTACTGGCCTGCTTCGATGAACAAATTATTTTGAATATCTTTCTCCATCTGTTCGCGCGAGGCAACGAAATGATAATCACGCCCATCGACTTCGTATTCTCTTTTACTTCTTGTTGTATCTGCGCAAAAGCCAAAATATAACAAAGTAAATAAATCCGACTCTGTCTTGCTATATTGTTATACACAGTGACGTCAACGCGCTGCACTGCTGCAGCGCGCGATGCATCGTCATCGTCGTCTCGTGTGCTCGTGTGCAGTTATAGATTTGGAATACAAAAAAAAAATAAATAAATAAAAGAAGAGAAGAACTGAAGATTTTGCGATAATATGCGAGGTGAAATTTAGAATGTATATTTTTTTTTACAACTGAATACGATGGATTCAAGGTATTTTTGCCATTTCGTCATACTACGTGCCATATTATATGTATAGATGTGTTATATTGTATACAATATACGATAGATTGCGGTTGGTGCGATGGGATACAGGACGCAAGGGGATGCATGTACATTATTTTTTTTCATCTCTCTACTCACGAGGTATGCAACTGTCGAATTTGTCCGGGAATTCCGAGATTAGGTCCTCGTTGATGCGATCCTTGAGCGGGCCGACTATGATGATGGGTCGCGTGTACTGTATGGTCACTCGCTGGATGATCTCGTACGTGAGCACCGTCTCCTCCTCGGCGTTTTTGTTCTCGCTGTCGTTGTTCAATTCTGCGAGAGGAACGAAAAAAAAAGTAAATAAATTACTTTGTTTTCTAGTTTGTCGTCGTTTCTTTTCAATTTTAATTCAGAGCAGTGTACAAGTTTAGTTTTTAGGTTTTCGAACTTCGGTCCGGACCTTGATTATTTTTCTTCTCCGAACGAGCATTCGTTAATTCATCCTTGACTTTCAGTTCGTCACAGATAAGCGCGTATAGCACGGATAGAGGAAGAAATTCCGAAGTAATAACGCCTGTTCTTTCGACTTCTTTTTTGACTTCTAGACACGCGACGCAGTAGAAATGAACAAAAAAAAGGTTCTATTTACTTTTGAACGTACGAAGTGCTCGAAAACCTATTTTTTTCAATTTATATAATAAAACGTGGCCTCGCTTACGTTCCGTGCTCTGGGTCTGTTCGTCGGATTTGCCGCTCTTGTTCCTGCGAAATCTCAGCGTGCCGCCGAACGAGAAATTTTTCTGCTTCCTCTCGAGCGTCGATTGCTACATACGAAAATTTCAACATTATCATTACTATTATTATTATTTTGTTTCATTCATCGGCTTACCCTCTCGTTGCTGCTGATGACGGGTCCCTGCTGGCCCTGAAACTTGACCTGGCGATCGCGGGCCTTCTGCTTGCGCTCCCAGCGTTTGCGCGACGGTATTATCCCGAGGGGCTGATGCTCGCCCTCGCCCATGGGCGTGTAGCGTCGCGCCTGCCACCACTCGTCGTCCGAGGCGTTGGTCACGTGCAGAATCTCGCCGTAGCAGAAGGCCAGGCCGTGCGACGGCAGGCCGTCGTCCTTGTTCGGGTCATAGGTGAACAGGGTCTTGACGTAGAACGATTTCTTTTGCGAGGTCCTCATTTGTGCGGTGCGCAGCGTGCGGTGCTGCTTCGCTTCTGTGTTTTTTTCAACCTGTAAGGAGATCAGCAGGCGTGAGATTTGCAATTCAAAATGTTACCTTTCGATGATGAAATTCCGATTTCGTGTATGATGCATCAGAAACAAAGAAGAAGCGAGACTTTTAGCGCTATTTTTAGTTTACTTTTTTTTTTTATTGTCGTCATATATCGATCGATCGATTTCATTCTCTCCGCCCACACTTTTGATATACAACGTCATGTACATACGTATATACGTGTAAAAATAAAATAAAAGAAGTAGCAACAACGTCTCTCGGATAATACCCACACACAAAGGGGGGAAAATCTCACTTGTCCCTGATAATAATACAAGTAAATCGTTTCCTTTTAAATCTTTTTTAGGTCGACGTCGGGACATTGCGCCGGGATAGAAATTTGCACCTATTTGTAACACATCGCGCGCAGTCGCAGCGCACCGGCGCGGCGTTATAATTGCTGCGTTAAGCTCATACATATTCTTATGTTCTTTTCGGAGCGAGCGGGAGGAGGAGGAGGAGGAGGAGAGTGACAATTGTGTACGAGAGGCACATCGCTAACAATGCGATTTTGTAACGGTACACCGTCGTCACCGTCGTCGTCGTCGTCGTTCGAGTCGTCCGAGTCGCCAAGAGAAGCTCTCGCGTGTATGTCATTACCTTACTTTCTTTCCGCGCCTCGTGATCTCCTTATTATTGTTATTATTTACTTTTTTTTGTCACGCGAAAGGAATTATGATGAATCGCTCGCGGGCGACTGTCGTCGCTTGATTTTCCTATCGGATCGATGGCGACACGCCCTTTGGGCTCGAGAAAATGTGGCATTTTCTTTTTTTCTCTCTCGTTCGGATGCAATTCTCAGCGACCGTCGATGTACGTAATTTGATTTATTAGGACGAGAAACGAGAAACTCTATACACTAACGACATTATTACTATATAGATATGCATAGATGTAGAAAAAAGATCATCTTGACTCTTGTACTTCTCGCTCGTTGAACACGCGAGAGAGCGACGCATCGATTTAGTTTTATCTCTTCGATATCGAAAATTCATCTTTCTTTCTTCCAACGAATCGTAAAATTCCTTCCTTCTTAATTTGAATTTAATAGATATAACGACGAACGCGCTCGGCACAAGAGCTGCGCACTCGGCACGATGAGAGATAGAGAGTCCCTCTCAATGATATACGAGGCTAATTAGTCCCACGCGACTCGCCTGTACTTTTCCCACTTATTGATTCGGTTTAATTACCTTTACAAAGAGACGCGTTTTATCACGATGCATTATACGCCCGCGCGCCCGGCTTTGTATACTTAAATGGAGAAAAGTTCGTTCGAAGAAAAGACGATTAACGATACGGATGCGTTTGATCGTCGTTGCAGCAAAAGAAAAGTGTATTTTCGAGAATATAAATCGAAGCAGAGAAGAGAGCTGACGCTCCGAATTTCCTACGTCTTCGTGCGACCGCTGCAATACTGCTTATACGGAGCTCTGCGTTGAGCATCGAAAAATATACGCCAACGTAGCTGCTGCTGGATCGTAATTTATTATAAAAATGTGCGCGCGCGGATACATCATCAGCGTGTCGTGTATTTTATTTTCAAACGTTTTTTTCTTTTTTTTTTCATCGTGTCAATGCAGCTATAGCAGCAGCAGTAGCAGCACCAGCAGTAGTAGTATTATGCACAATTTAATCAAATATAAATGAAAACATTTTTAACATAATTAGAATATCCTGGAAAATCCGTTATATAATTCATGTTCATTTGTTATAGCTGACGAGAGAGAAAGAGGGATATATGAACATTGTTGAAAAGTACATATAAACGCAACAACCAAAAGGTATAGTTAATTTTATCGTATCACGAATGAATTAAATTCAGCAGCAGCGTCAGAGACAGCGGCAACGTCAGCGAACGGCTCTTGGATCTAAATAATTGAGTTGTCAGGCAGCAGCAACAGACAGCGGGGGTAGGGGGGATGGGGTAGAGGAGTGCATAGGACAATCTTGAATCTTTTGACTGCACGCAGCTCGGGCAACGGGATACACTTGCCGCGCGCGCGCCAAAGGGTCGAAGGACTCGATCCGCTTCGAAAGTCCTTCTTAACAACGACGACGACAACTTTGCCGTTTAAGTTTATACACATGTCTGTACGTATCAGTGTCCTGAAACGCAACAGAGGGAGAGAGAGAGAGAAGCTGTAGAATATAATATTGTGTATCTGGGAGTACGTATTGTTGCGACGAGAGACTGGACACGTTGTTTCGCCGAGATGTGAGTGTTAATATTGCTCCGCCGAGTAAATACGAATGTGCACTGCGCAGCACTTTTTCTCTGTACAACCTCTTTTGTTTTTGTGCTTTTGTTTCTTTTGACCGCTGGGAAAAAAATTAAATGACATTCGCTCGTAAATAAGCTAGTTTCAATCTGGTTACATTAACTCATCGAGATTCTCGATTGCCATATTCTAATGTATTCTTTTTAATGCCTACGAGTAATCGCTATTAAGGTATATAACGTTAAGGTGATGCCTTGGCCCCAATTTTGACCGACCGAGCATTAAAACTGTAAATTGAAACAACTTTTTTACTATACCGATTTTCTAAAAACGGCTTTGTGGAGCCCTCCGTAATGTAGTTGTGAATAACTGCACCAAATTTCAGCCAATTTCATCGGATATTTTTCCCGGAAAACAGGATCGAAAATTTTGATCCTGTTTTCCGGGAAAACTATCCGATGAAATAGGCTGAAATTTGTCGCAGTTGTTCGCAGCAAGGTATCTTTTTCGCGTTATTATTTATGAACCGTTGGAGTCTCCTTCGTTATTAGATTACCTATAGATTGAGATATCTATGAATAAAATCGAGGAGAGTATTCATGCCGAACAATTGAATTAACGTTAAAAACTTTGACCACCATTAAAAAGAACAAACAAACCTATCGGAATGCGTATGAGCAAAATTTTTTCAGGTCCAATTGCGCCGGCCACGGTGAGTTATATAAGTTGCGATATACATTAAAAAATGCCCCGCGCGAACGCACTGTCTGGTCGAGCGTGGAATACGTCATTAAAATATGTTTTGAGATTTGAGATCTTTTATATTTGAATGATGATCGAATGAAAAGTTGAAAGTCATATTTTTAAATGTTTTTATTTGAATCACACGAAAAATGTGCAAAATTACAATGTAACATCATAAATTCAAAATCATGTTGATCATGTCACAGTGGAGAGTTAGCAGCCAGACACTAAAAAAGCAAAGTTTAGAAGTATAGAATTGTTAGAATTAGAATTTATAGTAAAAATTACTGCTGTGCATGGTGTGACGAAAAGAAAACTTGCATGAGCGGGTCATTTCTCTCCGCTTCGCTTAGATCGCAGTTCGCCAAGTAAATACTCCATAAATCTTTGTTCTCCAAATGATCCATGATCGTGTCACAGCAGAGAATCGGCAGTCGGTTGTGAATCAGCTTCGAGAAAGAATCCAGTGCCCATCGCCGAAAAAGTCCTCTCGATAGTTTCTCGCAAACACGTTCGATACAAAGACTACTATAAATTTCGGGGAGTGTCTTCAATTTATCCGAGCGAGCCAACTTCAAGTAGTCCGCGTATGTGAGTCGTTTTTCAGCCTCCTTTTGTCGTAACTGGATCAAGTCGTACAGCGACAGGTCGGATATTATCATTATTTCTTTCGCTTGGCTCGTGAAATATGGTTCATCCAGACAATATTCATCACCAGATTCGTCGAGATCCAGCCAATTGTCGCATAATTTGTTATTGGCGAACAATTTTATGATCGTGATAGTAGCGTCTCGGTCCAGTTGATATCCTTTCTCCTCAAGACGTTCGGTGACGTACAGAACACAAGACCTTATTTCCAATTTAAGATAATCACTATTTTCCGTCGGTTCGTTGAATCTCTCGATGAACTGACTCGCAGTTGGAAAAACGAAGCTCGACGCGTCAGCCCCATGATTCAGAAGTGCATCGACCACATATGACGAGAGATTCGTAACGGCGTAGTGCAAAGGTGTCCGACCCTCCTTGTCTCGTGCATCGACCTGTACCTCGTTAACTGCAAAAAATAGATCTATCATGAAGGCGTTTTTGTCGTGGCGTCTATTACAGAAGATGTGCAGAGGAGTCGACCCCTCTGCATTGGCTATACTCGGGTCCGCGCCCTTCTTTAGCAGCAATTCGGCTTGCTTCATGTACTTGTGTTTCAGAGTCAGATGTAGGGGTGTATTACCCAATTCGTCCTGGGCGTTGACTTGCACAAGTTGGTTTAATTCTTCGCAGATATTGAAGAATATCTCGCAAAATTCGTGGTAATAGTAATTCGTGCAAATGACGTGCAGAGGAGTCAATCCTTCCTTATTGACCATATTCGGATTGGCCCCATTTCTCAGCAGCAATTCAATCATCTCTTCTCTGCCGCGTTTAAGAAGAGCCCAGTGCAGTGGTGTCCAACCCCAGTTTCCCGCGGTATCGACCTGCACCTGCAGATTTTTTTCTTTACAGATCTCGAAGAACATCTTCATCGAGTCACAATTGACGTGGTCACTTAAGCACATCATGTTCAGAGGTGTGAATCCATTTGTATTGGGTATATTTGGATCGTTGCCTCGTTTCAGCAGTAATTCGACCAACTTTAACTGGCCGTGGTACAAGGCCAAGTGCAATGGTGTGTTACCCTCATAGTCTTGAACATTGACATGCAGCAACCGATGTTTTTCCTCGCTGATGTTGAAGAATAACTCGATAAAGTCGTCACTGTAACAGTTTTTGCTTATGATGTGCAGAGGAGTGTATTTAAGCCAGTCGACCAAGTTCGGGTCGGCGCCTCTTCTCAGCAGTAATTCGGCCGCACTCGTGTTGCGCACGCGCAGAGCCAAATGCAATGGTGTTTGGTCCAACTTGTTCTGGGCGTCGATTTGCAGCGGCTGATTGATTTCGTCGTTGCACTCGAAGAAGATTTTCGCCAAGCCATCGTCGCTTTTTCGCATGCAAATATGGTGCAGGGGTGTGTATCCATTTTTGTTTGGCCAATTCGCATTGGCGCCATTGCTCAGCAACAACTTCATCGAATCTTTGTCACCGCATTTGATGGCCAAGTGCAATGGTGTATTACCTAAATTGTCTCGTTCGTCAACTTGGACCAGCTCATGCTCTCCTTTATGGGCCATTATTTTATCCACTCACAATGCACAGTCACTTGTAATATGAAATATTTTTCACTATTAATCAGTTGCAGCAATCGATGCAATATATTCTTGATGTTCACGTTGCCGCACCGTAACCTGTACTGACTACACATTCACTACGAGCTTCGTATCTTCAATTAGAAAGTAAAAAACACATGGCCGAGGCTATAAGAGACACAAGTAGCTCGAACTATTTACAGCAACGAGAGAAAATCTTGATTCCAGCGTAGTTGGGGTCGCTCATGTATATAACATACGCCGGAGTAATAACAATAATGCACAGCAAAGTATAGGCGTCGCCCCTATTTCACTGAATTTATGATTTTCAATTGTTTCCGAATTAAACTACCGATACGTGTCATTCGATGGAGAAAGCTACACACAAACTCGCTGCACATGTACAAAAGATAAACGTAGATCGGTGTCTGGCGCCATGGAGACGTTACAGTTAGGTTGCTTTCACCAAAACTAGTAATGTAATTAATGATGTTGTCAAATTGTAATACTGCGAGTCTCAAAACTTATAATACGAAAAGTTTACTGCTCAGTAGTGGCTATTACTACGATAAAAATGAAGTATTTATGGCAATGTATAAAAAAAAATTATAAAAAAATTATTTAAAAAAAAATTTTATCAAAAAGAAGAAAATTGGAAGTAAAAATTTAACGTAAAAAAATATACAAACAAAATTATTCATATAAATAAATTGCTTATAACTTTATTTTTATAAAATTATGTTTATACAAATATATACTGCTTAAAACATGTTCATTTCGTTGTAATTAGCCTTATTCAGCTGAGAAATGTCGGCTAGGTGCAGCACACCTCCTGATTAAGCGAACTTTTCTATAATACGTGGAAAAGACTCGAGGTATATGACCAAAAAAATAAATAAATTGAAGCAAGGGAACTTCAAACACGCGTGTGTGTAGCGTCGTGAGAAAACGCATTTATGAATGAAAACGCGCACATCCTGTGTGAGTATCTATGTTGTTTTTTTTTATTATTTGCGCCGCGTATATAATACCCAGAGTTAAAAGGCATTTACCGTAATTATAAGTTTGCGCATTCGCTGCGCGTTCGAAGCTCGCGATATATTGTACATTACGATGCGAGCGGTGCATATTCCACATATGTTTATATTTTTATAGTACCGAGAGCTGCCCGCGCGCGACAGGTAATAATTTTCAAATATCATTGATAACGAGAACTCGGCGTTACGAGCGTTGCGACACTCTCTCTTTTAATACCTATAATAGTAATATCATTCGATTACAAGGCGATCGTCGTAAATTTATGGATGACGAAGCTTCGGTGCCTCTCTCTCTCTGTTCTTTGTTATTTTTTCTTTTTTTTTAGGTTTATTACCAACGCCCGCAGCGTACGATCGACCTACAATCTCGAATTTACAATCGAATCGCGTCGTCGTCGCCCGATCGATCCGCGGACGATCGTCATCGCAGCGTATAATAAATATGAGGCGTTATTTTTTCTTTCGCGCGAAAATGCCGCAAAACTTTTGCGCCTCCGTGAGTTACAAATTATACGCAGCGATAATAATAATAAACTCTTCCTTTTTTTTGCTGTTAATTCCGAGGCGCGCACATATTATCGGCCGCAGCCATATACGACCCACTTCTCTCTCTTTACTATAATGCATACCTTTTCTTGCCACTGCACTAATACCGCGCGTAAAGCTCGCTGCTCGTTTTAATTCAAAAAGTTTCATAAACGGATTACAATGGCCCTGCGAAATTGATTTGTATATATACGCGTTTCGAGGATTGTAATAAATAATCGGTTAATCAGATTATTTAACGATTGGCCGCGGTGGTGCAGCTGTACGATACAGCTTTTCGAGGCAAAAATACAAATCCTCGTTTGTATAATTCAGTGCCGCTGCGCCGATTACAATAATACGGCGCTCGCGAGCACGTATTGTGTACGATAATATTGTATACACGATGATGTAATATTTATGCACTTTCCGTAGGGCTCGGAATACGGGAGACTCTTTTGTCGCGACCACTTATGTATCGTCGGTCCGAAATAAGCATAATACGCGATGAAAAAAGATTGTCCGTGTGTGCGTGCGTGTGTTATATCGAGTGTATTATGGCACACGCATAACGCGGCAAAAAGTGGGTCACGTGTCACGCCAATAACGCACGCAACGACGCACAAATTGAGGAATGATAAAACTAGTTTCGCGTACGAATGCACGACGATGATGATCAGTATTTTTTTCAACGAAGCAACGAAGTAGATTTAATTTTCGGAAAAATGATTATTGTCGTTGTGACATCTTGCATTGTATACATGCACAAAGACGCGCGTGGATCATCGATTTCATCGATTTTCGACGTACACAACAACGCATCAATAATAATTGCGAAGTAATAAACCCGACCAATGTAATACGTGTTTGCGGTCGACGACGACGACGACACTTATACTCGAGCACGCGCGAGACGCTACATACAGGAGAGGCGCATAAATTAACGACTATCTTTATGTGCTTACATATATATATGCGCGCTTCACGGCAGCACGAGAGCCGCCACCGCTGCTGCTGCTGCTCAGGCTTGTGTATGCATGTGCACGTGTGTCACGCAACGTACAATACTTCGCGCGAGCAGTAAGGTAATAAACAAATGTGTATTATTTCGCGCGAGCGCGAAGGATAAAAATAGAATTTCAGCGAGGCGCGGGCGCACATAAACACATGCGGTATTATTGTTCATCGGTATTTTATATTTATAACACGAAATCGAGTCAAATAATAAGCGCGCGCGAGAGAGAGAGATGAAAAATGGTATCAAGGTTGATTCTCGATGGCTGTAGACTTTCGTGAGGGCCCGTTTTGTGCAAAGTTTAGTGTGGGACGTGCGAGGAGCTTTTTGAAGCTGTATATCGCCAAAAAAACCTGTTTCTGTTTTGGGCTCTTCGTCTCTTGTCTCTCGTTTCACGCGCGTTATACGTACATACACTACGCAGAGGATATCACTGCAACGGCGATGACAGCGATGAAATAAAAAAATTATTGAGCCAACGCGACAGTGAGTTTTATAATTATTACAGAAGAATATATGATAGAAAAAAATACCACTTGAAGATAAAAAATTTAGAAAAGTAAATTTGAAATATTAAATAAACTTCAGTCGTCAGAAGTGAAATTTCTTGAAAATTGGTTAATTACAAAACATCAAAATATGAAAGAAGAAAAATCTTAAAAGAAGAGTAAAATTGAGTTATGAAATAATTTAAAAAAAATCCAAATTCAAGAACGTCGAATATTGAGAAAAGTTGAATAAAATTTTATTGATCATTTCAGATCAGAATAAGACTCTAAATTGTTGTTATCTTTTCATTGTCATAAAATCAGATAGCAAGTATCGTTTACATTACAAAGAAATGCTCCTCGGTGAATATATAATTTTTACATCTTGATTTAACAGGATATAAAGGATATGTAGGTTAAATTTTCTTCTTACTATTTTTTTCAAAGTCGTTCAATTTATTTTTTGCTAAATCTACAATCAAATAATATTACAATGGAGTATTTTTGAAAAATAAATCTCTATTATGTGTCTACGGAACAATGAATAATACAAGAACATAAATAAAGTACTGGAAATACATTTATCGTTATTACGAGGCTTGGTCTGCAAACGCCAAGCAGATATTGCACAAATCTTGGTTGTCCAGCTTCTCCAAGATCTGTTCGCAGCAGAGAATCGGCAATCGTTTGTGGATCAACTCGTAAAACGGGTCCAGTGCCCAGCGTCGAAAAAATCCTCTCGATAGTTTTTCGCACAAATGCAAAAGACAATTTTTATTATGTCTTTCTGGGATCATCAGTTTATAATGACCTGATGATAATTGACCCGCGAACACGAAGTAGTCCCTGTACGTGAGTAGCTTTTCCTCCTCTTCGGGTCCTAAGTGGATGAGATCGTAGAGCGATAGACTCGGAATGATCATTGCCTTTTTCGCCTGTTTCGTGAACTCCTCATCATCGCGCAGAGATTTTTCAAGATCAGACGACTTTTCAAACAAATCGTGTCTAGCAAAGAATTTCATGATCGTCAGGGCGTCGCTTTGGCTGAAGCTATATCCTCTTGCCTCGAGCTGCTCGGCTACGGCCAGGGCACCGGACGCTACTCTCATTTTGCAGGTTAACGGTGAATTAAGTCGGACTTCCGTTCCAATTGAAGTTGGGAAAATGCAGTTGGACATATCTGCGCCACGATTCAAGAGCACATCGACGGTGTTTGGCAATAGATTCTCCATGGCCAACTGCAACGGTGTCTTACCCGACTTGTCTCGGGCGTCGATCTGCACCGTCAGCTGCATTTCATCACAGATCTCAAACAAGATCTGGACGAATCCATCGTCGCGGTCTCTGCAGCAGACAGCATGAAGAGGAGTCGTGCCGTACTGGTTGGCCAAATTCGGATCTGCGCCGCGTCTCAATAGGGTTTTAAACACCTCCTTATCGCCCCAGGGCAAGGTCAAGTGCAATGGCGTGTCACCCCGCGTGTCCTGGGCGTTAACCCGCACCGTCCGTTGCATCTCGTCGCAGATCTCGAAGAAAGTCCTCACCAAGTGGCTCTGCGCGCGGACAACGAGGTGCAACGGAGGCGTTCCCTCCGCATCGCGAGCGTTCGGATCGGCACCACGTCTCAGCAGCAATAGGACCACCTCCTGACGGTCGTGCTTCAGAGCCAGGTGCAGCGGCGTCCGACCCTCATTGTCCTGGGCGTCGATGTTCACCCGCTGACGGACCTCGTCGCAGACCGACAAGAACCTCTCGATCGTGCCAACATATTCGGGTTGACGGAACCGGCACATATTGTGCAGAGGCGTCGATCCCATCCGATTGGCTGCATTCGGATTGGCGCCGTTTCTCAGCAGCAGCTCGATCGTTCGTCTGACTTCGTTGTCGTTGTCACGTGTCGACGAAGCCAACAAGTGTAGCGGCGATTCGCCCGTTTCTCTGTGGAAGCAATTCGGATCCTGGCCAAGCTCGAGAAATTTTTTTACCACGTGGTAACTGACGAATTCACAGGCCATGTGGAAATGCTCCGAACGGCTCTCCTTGTCGAAGTAATGCACATCGAATTGGGCATATATGTCGAAAAGGCAACGGGAAACCTTGGGGTCATCCAAATACAGGTCACCATTAATGTAATATAAATTGGCTAAATGATGCAGCAATATGACTTCGTTGAATTTGAGGCCACCTTTATCATAGCCGGCTCGGATCACGAACTCGATGAATCGTTGATATTCATCGACGCGATTGTAGTCTTTGTCGAAGAGAATGCCTTTTGCGGAATCCGCGATGAGACGCTTGATTTCTTCGGATCGAAACATCTTCCAAAGGTTGGGTAGTTGGCCCTTCCAGTTTTCGATCAATGGGCGCAGTCGACGGAGAAACTCACGTCGCTTCGTCTCGACCTCCCAATTGACCTTCTCTCGCAGGATCTTCATCATTTCTAAGTCAACGTGCTCGGCCATTGTTCACACTCGCACACAATTATTAGTCGCTCACAATATAACAAAATATATTTCTTTTTTCCACAAAAGTCACTCGAGGCGCAATCGTTGCTTTTATTTCTCGTTGTTCACACTGTCACGTTCGAACGCACACTGATCTCTACATTCAGAGAGTAAAAAAACACATGGCCGAATCATTGAAAGAGAAAGCTAAGTTGTAGCAGAGAATATAGATCAAATAGAAGGTGGGATCCGTAGGATTTTGCGAAGACAGTTTTGAGCAGTAGTTCTATCCCCCATCAGGCAGGCGGCGTTGCGATCACTGTAGGCGCGCATTTAAATGTCCAGCGACAAGGCCGAGCATTTTATCCACAATGCGTGTTCATTTTTATCATGTAAATAATTATTTAAGTCGAATGAACAAAGAAAATAAATAAAACACATTTTTTATGATATAATTATACTGTGCTATTATTTTATAAACATGCTATATCTGAAGTCATCAATGCTCGTTGCGAGTATGACAAGCAGACGGTTAAAAACAATTGCATGTCGTTGCTTGCAAATCAACGCATGTATGGCTAATTCACGACTACGCAAAGATAGATTTAGGCGATCAAGATCAACCGACTCTGTTGAGGTTGCTCCATGAAGTACGTAGCTGGATATTTAGCTCATAAATGTCTCATAAAATTTCACTGTGAATCATGCCGATCGACTTTGATACGCGAAAATCAAAACTTAGAAGCGAACGAGGATCTTCTAATATTTCGGAAGGCTTACAACGTTCCTCAAAAAGAATTGGGCAATTTAAAAGTTCCGACCGATGAGTTTTTTAATATTATAGTCGAGGCGTATACAATTATGCAGCAAGAATTTAATATACATATGCATGAATATAATCTCCGAGCAACGTTAATATCGCTAATAGAGTTCGTGATTATCGATAAATATAGTACATTTTGGATATGCGAAGAGTGTTTTGATCATAGAAGTTTTATTATAAATCATTTCGTAAAACTTCATATATTCTATTTTTTAAAGTGGATGTTTTGCGATAACCGTGACACTAAAAATTTCAAGAGAAAATTTAACAATTCGACAGATAAGCCATGTTTGAAACTAGTAAAACTGAGCCAATGATTCTAAATAAAAGTACTTCTTTGAGCTGTTCAAAATATTTATTTATTATATTTTTGTTACTTTTAGTATTATTTATTGATTCGATATTAATAAGATATTAATGATTGGTTTAATTACACTACAGAGAATGTTTTCCCACTCATTTGCTACATTCATTCCACCTTAATAATTATTTACATGATAAAAATGAACACGCATTGTGGATAAAATGCTCGGCCTTGTCGCTGGGCATTTAAATGCGCGCCTACAGTGATCGCAACGCCGCCTGCCTGATGGGGGATAGAACTACTGCTCAAAACTGGCTTCTCAAAATCCTACGGATCCGGCCTTCTATTTGATCTATATTCTCTGGTTGTAGTTCGAGAATAACAGATAGGTTTCGCTCTGAGCGTTGGGGTGGAGCTTAGAGCGGCGCTGTCTGCGGTCAAAAATTCCAGCGTCGACTGTTCGAACTAAATTTTTTCCTCATGAGAATTAACACGAAAAAGCAGGAGCACATGGCATTTTCAGAAGCTCTCTAATAGTTCACCGATGTTTAATCCACCTTTGATTAATTACTTAGCCATGATAGTAATGAAATCAAATCTATCGCAATAACTATTCAGCATAACTAAAATTTTCATTTTTCATACTGTAAATCTACGGTAAGTTTGTATTACAATTATTAATGATATTATTGGTGATAATCATAGCAAACTCAACTTTACTTATGACTCTTCTTTGCCAGCCGTCTCGATAAAATTTTTATACGCACCTTATAACATCATGTAGTCTATGATAATTAATTAGTCAATATTACGTTTTTCGGGGACTGAGAGTACAATATTTTGTGTCACTTTTTGCGAGGAACCGATTGACCCAATCAGAATCATTGTATCTTTTATAGATTTCAAAAGAAAGCGTCAGGTCGTTGCGATTTTCGCGTGTAATATGAGGAGCGCTGGAGTGACGCTGCTCTCGTTTGCGCTTCTAGATCACGTAATATATTACGGAGGTGGAATAATTAACGCGCAATATTTTAAACATCAATAAATCGGAGACGCGGCGAAGGAAGAGGAACTTGCAAAACTATCTACACTCTTACGATTCTCGGGGAAAGCAGCCGGGAATAAATTCGTGTCCGTTTACGCGCATTTCTTAGCTCTTTTTTTTTATTCATTTTCAACTTCTTTCAATTCCGCGACAAGCGTATACGTTCTGCAAACCTTTTATCCTAAAAATAAACGCACGTATATGAGCAAATCCAGAATTTTCCAGAAAATCAACACCAAACATTTTTTCGTGGTATGCAAGAAAGAGTGGCGGGAGAGCGTTCTTTAGGGACCTAGAAACATAAAAAAATGCGTGAAAACGAAAAATTTCGATAGTGAATTATTCGATATGCATTTTTGTGCGCCGCATATGAAGAATCACGATTTAGAGTGGTGAGAGTACAAAAACACTTGTGAGTATCGCAAAATAAGCATAAAAAAAATTTCAAAAACCCCATATCCAATGTATTTTTGTGTCTTACAGATGATAATAAAACTTCATTAAAGCTTCCATCTTATAGCAAACGCAATGTAATTATCAATACAAAGCATTATAGAGAAAAAATGTCTATATCCTGTGATATAAATACTAATATTATTCGATTTAAGGAACGTCAAAAAACAAGATCTCAAATAATAAATGTTTATATTAACGATGAAAATTCAAGTCCTGCGCCTGGAATTCGCAATTATGTATGTAAAGAGAAAAAAAGTTAAAGAAAACGATATTTGAAAACTAACCAACTTACGTTGCAACGAAATTTTATTAATTTTGGATTTTTCACAAAATTATCTCTGCATATACGCAAATGAGATACAAGGTTTTCATTTTGGTGGATCGAGGAGTCAAGTTTCTCTTCAAACTGGAGGATTTTATTTTCGAGATGAAAACAATCAAGTTCTCTTTGAATCTTTTTCCACGTTGTCAGATTGCTTAAACCATGATGCTGCCGCCGTCTGGGCACATTTTCAGCCTATCCTATTGAAAATTAAGAAAAAATACACACAAATTGATTCAATTTACTTTCAGAGCTATGGTTCATCTGGCCAGTATAAAAATAAATCGAACTTTTTTTTGCTTAATTATTTTTGTAATAAGTTTAATTTTAAAAATTGTGCCTGGAAGTTTACTGCAGCTAGTCACGGGAAAAGTCCAGCCGAGAGCGTAGGAGGTTCTATAAAAGAATTGTGTAATCGAGAAGTGTCATATGGGATCGATATTTTAAACGCTGAAGACATGCATCGAATTATTTGTAAAAAAAAAATGCAAAACATCAAGCTATTTCGCAAATTCTAATAGTTTCGCAATTGGTGGATAAATATTTTGGAAAAAAATACAGAAAGGTAATTTTAATGCAAAATTTTTTGCTTTTATCAAATCTGTCATAAAAATGGGGGTTTTCATTAGAAAAACCGATTTTTGGATCGCTGGAGCTTGAAGGTTAAGTTGAAGGTCAAATTCAAGGTCACAGTTGGATTCCTCGTCGAAAAATACATTGGTATGGGGTTTTTGAAATTTTTTTTACGCTTATTTTGCGATATTCACAAGTGTTTTTGTACTCTCGCCACGCTAAATCGTGTTTCTTCACATGCGGCGCACAAAAATGCATATAGAAAAATTCACTATCAAAATTTATCGTGTTCACGCATTTTTTTATGTTTCTAGGTCCCTCAAGAACGCTTTCCCGTGACCCTTACTCGCGTACCACGAAAAAATTTTTGGTGCTGATTTTGGCCCGTGAAATGGGAGAAAAATTCTGGATTTGCTCATATATATAGCCACCACACGCATTTGACCATAAAACAACGCGCGGAATAACGAAATCGGTTCGAAGCTGCAGCAGGCCGGCCGCGTTTTTTCAAGAAAAATCGCGCGGATGAGAATAGCCTCTGCTGCTGCTGCTGCTTGCCGCGAGAGCAGCAGACTGCAGTTTTTTTTTCAATTAATTCCGCCAAGTCGAGCTTTTGCATAACACAACCGCCACCGCTGTCGTTGCCAACAGCGCGTCGGTTATTTATTAATTTTTTCCTCTCTCTCTCTCTTTTTCATTATTACATATTATCCGCTCAAAAAAACACGGCGTAAAAGTCTATACGTGTACGTTTGTGTAAGTGCGTGTGTATGTGTGTGTGTGTGTAATAGCAGAGCGAGTCAAGGTTTTCTATAATTTCATACAAAACAGCAGCAGCAGCTCGAGCCGTTATATTACGTTCAATGCTATTTGGTCAATGTCGCAGACGCGCGCACATACCGTTTATACACACACACAACCCAACCTCGCATCCAGAGCATGTACCCTTATACACGCCACACATCGCACCACGAGCTCGACACGCTTTTAATATGCACACACACACACACACTATGATTTTCGTCGTTTCATGTGTGAGTGTTTTTGGCTCGCGACACTTTCTCTCGCTTTTAAATACAAACAGACACACGAAGAACGTCGTCGTCGCCGCAATGTGTGCGTGTGCGACGCAGAGAAAATCACGTCTGTGTAGAAGTAAAGGTAGTTGTTGCGGGCGCGTGGGTGTTGTGACCCGCGCAAAGCCCCGTATACAAATGAGAGAAGAAAAGAGGATCGCTTCTCCCTTTCCCCCTCGTTGCGTTGATTAATCTCTCCGTTTTGTTTTCTGATTAATTTTTTATACAAATATCCTCGTCGTCGCGTGTCTACAACTGACGTACAAGTATCGGCAAACACGGGGACGCGATGTTTGTAATAATGATACATACTCAATTAATAACACTCTCTCGAGTATATCGAGCGAAAGTCGATACCCATAATATAATAATACATCGAATGTAATCTCGTCGTCGTGTTTATACATGTATACGTATACGTACCGGCCTATTATAGAACTGTGACCGTAATAGACGTATACTATATATTGGCGGAAGTCGATCGGTCGAGAAAGAGAAGAGATGAATCGAGCTCCTGATTCAAGATGATATGGTTTTGCAGCACATGCATATGCACACATCGTATAAAAGGCATTGATTGACCTTAGAGTGTGTGTGTGTGTGTGTGTGCGTTGTTACACCACAAAGCCATTGAGAGTGCAGCATCGGTACGCGTGTCTCATGCCGCCGCCGCCGCCGCCGAGGCGCATCAAACTATAGATGTATATAAGTAATAGAGCAGCTCTGCGATGCACTTTCATAGAGACGTAAGATGACGTCGAGACTATAAATAGTCGCTTATGGTATAACATGTAGCAGCAGCTTCCTGCTTATCCGAGCCTGCATATAGATTAATACATCTAACGTAATATGAAAGAACCACACACACTCACAGCTTGGGTATAGTACATATTATAATAATATGTAATGCTTGAGGTAAATAAAGGCAGGCATGTGTGCGCGTGTGTGTGTTTACGTTCACGAATCGATGAATTGAAACAACAACAACATCAATGTGGACGCTTGTGTATATATAAGCAACAGCTGCACTCGGAACGACGCGTGTATATCGATAGACATTTTTAATAATAAGAAAAAAATAACAATGCAACGCGGAGGAAGAAAAATGACGAGCCACGCATTCCGCGCAGCGACAAATCGTTCGATTTTTACATTACATGTATAATTATATCGTCGTTCGGCCTTGGCGTATTTTTTTTTCTCTCTTTGTATAAAATGTAAAACATTATCATCGATCGCGATTGCAATTCCATTGTTGCGTTATTTATTTATTAATCGTAACTGCTTTCAACGTATTTTTATTTCAAAAACAACAAAAGGTGGGAGGAAGATGAGGAAAAAAAGATGAATCGATTTTTAAGACTCTCGGTGACGATCTCTCGCGACACAGAAAAGACGGCCGCTATTTCGTACGCAAGAGCGCTTCGATCGATATATCGCAACTAATGTACAGTATCGACACCATAACACCGCTTCGCCTAATCTATCTATATATCACCTGCAACGACAACGACGACACATCCAATATATCTATACGCGTGGGCGTAGATAATACGAAATTCTTCGCTCGCGGAAATTTTTTTCTCGCGTTTCGTACGCGATAAAAAAAAAAAGGAATTAATTATGTTCTGTACGGTAGCTCGATGCTCTCTCGGAGTATCGTAACGCATTCCTTGGGGGTTTTCAACGTTATTATGCACGAGTATTGCAATAACAATCGCGTCTCTTTCCTTGTAAGCCACCGTATAGCCACCGACACCGCCGCCGCGAACCTCTAAGGTATTCTACATTTTACCGTTAGCCCTTGTGCCGAGCTGAATACATGCCTCTCTTCACTCCGCGCGGCCGCATGCAGCAGTCACTACTATATATGTATATAATATACCTATGTAGACTACTCACTCACGGCGAGGCGTTGCTCCGCAACTCAAATTTCAACGTCATGTACTATATATAATACGAGGCGCGCACACACACACATAAACACGCGTCCTGTGGCTGTGTACAAATATACTGTCCATATATGAGTATGCGTAAGGTGTTCGCGTTACGTTACGCATGCCGATATGGAACACGGAATTATCATCCTCATCCTCGTTGTCGTCGACGACGTTTTATAATAAAATCAATTAAGATTGCACAGAGTTAAAAAGAAGGAAAAGGTCACGCACGTTTTACGAATACGTAATGAGTACAAATGCGGACGAATCGTCGTCGTCGTCGTCGTCGTCGTCGTCGTCGTGTCCTCGAGCGTAAACTGGCTAATTTCACGAGGAGCGGGCGTGTGCATAATAATGTACATATATATGAGAAAACGGACGTGAGTGAGTGAGTGAGAGCAAAAATAAGGAGTCGGCCGCCACTGCCGCCGCCGCCGCATACTTATAATGTAGGCGCGCGCGGCTGTCGACGCGAGTCGTGAGACACGCGTCGTCCGTTTTCCTAACCTTTTGCTAATCTGATTTTTCACGCGCGGCTCGCGTGTATACAGAATAAAAAACTGTACGTCGTAGACGCGCATACAGAGACATATTATCGAGTGAAGAAATTCACGCGTATAGATTTTTTTAAGTGGGAATGATCACGACGACGATAGAATCGCGTTGATGAGCAATAACGCGTTCTTCGCGTTCTTTCTCGTTTTCAATCGATCAATCGATAGATACATAGAAAGACTCGCTAAAAAAGAACTCACCGGAGTCTTCGAAATTCCTTCGAAATGTTTGACGAGCGACCTTACACACGACGGTCTCCTCCTCTTCGGCGTGCTTGTGTGTATACACCAAAGTTAACAATTACACACCAAAAAAGAAACTTTTTCGCAGCACAGCGGGGACTCGACTATTTTTCTTCTATAAAACTCCACCTTTTATATGTGTATTCTTTCGCGACGTGATGCAGACGGACAACAGCAGCAGCAACAGCGGACTATATATATTGGTTATATATATGTGTACAACACTCAAAAATCACAAAACTAACACACGATCGGTGATCACACGTTTACACGCGCGCACACACACACCAAAACACTGTATCACACGTACGCAAGGAATAACATATACGTGAGCGTCTTCGCGGGCACACCGGAACTCCGAAAAGCCGCACCAGCAGCAGCGGCACACAGACACGATTTTATTTTATTTGTTAATTATTAATACTCGTGGGGGTTTGTCGTCGTCGTCGTCCGGTTGGTGCAGGCGCTACGCAGGGCATGAGCTTCCAGCCTCCTTGACTGCAGCAGCATCGAGGAAAAGGTGTGGTGGTAGTAGTAGTAGTAGTAGTAGTAGGACTAGTATAAGTGGTGTGTCGTCGCGTGTAAAGCCACTATACCACTAAACTTAAACTCATGTGTCTGTACTACATACAGACTCGACTCTCATGTATCGACTATCGAGCGATCAACGCAGAATGATGAGAGATGTGACGAGAGAGAGAGACAAACAGCACACATAACCGCGGCGTTCCCCGCAAGAGATCTTGACTTTGGATTTTTTTATACATACACACATATGCGTTGGTATATAAAAACCGACTGTCTCTCTGCACTGTGTTGATGTATGTACGTACGACTGCGATGATGATGATGATGATGATGATATATATATTATGGCACGCGAACGGCACGGACACGCACGCACCCACAAAACACGAGTCTCAGCTCGCTTACTTTTCGTGATTAGCCAGCAGCACACGACTTTTTATATATGTAAAGTAACTTGAAATATGTGCGAGTGACGCGCTATTATGTTGTTGCAGATCGGCTGCTGCTTCTCTATCGTATATATCTTATATGATAAGTACATGTACACATGTGTATGTATGTGTGTGTGTGTGAGCCGAAAAGTCGGTGACGTTCTTCGTCGTCGTCGTCGTCGCTGTCGTCGTCGCGTCGCACGCCGATGCAGCCAGGACGAGATACCGACTCGGACTGCAGAATTTTATTTTTATAATGCCAAAAGTGCAGTTCTCTCTCTCTCTCTGTAATGCGAGCGGCGCGAGCAGTAGCACAGAGCCCGGAGGGGAGGGACGACGACTGCGCGGCGGCGACGCGACACGACGACGGGTGCAGCCGCGTCTCCTATATACATATGCACAATCAGCACACGCAGAGCATGGACACACAAACACGCACAAACGCCACTATTCGTGCGACGAGAGGCGCGAGACTTTGAAAGACTTTCGAGCTGTCGTATTCTCTCATCGACTTAGACATCGTATGAAATCGTGTTAATGATTATAAATGAAGATGAGGCTTATGAAAATTTTAAATAAGAAACAATGCAAGAGAAAGCAGAAATTACAGTTTGATATTATTTATTAGAACATTGTGATTTTAAAGCAGTCGCAGATGGAGAACAAGAATGCTGTTATTGTTTATTTCACTTAAATTAGATATTACCATCAGGGTACGTTATCGTATCCACCAACGTTAAGAAAATCCACAATAATGTATGAATGAAAAAACAAACGACAAAAGTTACATATTAAAAAATAAGATGTCTACACAAGTTAGATCTCCATGCTTTCCAATGCAACTTTGAAGACTGATTTGAGAATCTTTGACATTATGTTTACCTTGACTGTTTCGAATGCTTCTTGCAAAATTCAAACATCATATAGTTTTTCATTCTTCTGTTCAAAATTCCAAGTCTCTTCCGTCTCTTTATTATTTGCATATAGTTTAATACCTTTCTCATGAAATTTTTATCTTTTATAGTCCATTTCAAGTTGAGCACTTCAATGATCTTAAAAATGTCAATGAAGTCAAATCCATTTATTACAGAATTAATTATTAGATTCTTAATTGATGATGTATTTAAATTAAGTTTCTGTAAAGCTTTCATCATGTTTTTAAAAGTCTCAGATTCACTATCGCATGGTTTTTTGGGTGTTTTCATTATTATTTTAATATAATCATATACATTTTGTTTATCTGCTTTATTAACCATTGGACATGCGAGAGAAAACTGCTTGAAGCTAGCATTTGGATTCTTTTTGAGGTAATCCACCGAGGGTGCAATGATCCTACTCTTCATCGTAGATGAATACAACTTTATAAAGAAGACAACTGCAAAGGAAAAAAGCATAAACTAAATTGGCATTGAGTCGTAAAACTATTATTAATCAATGATTATTTACTTTTAGCAATGAGGAAATTTGTCTACAGACTCAAGTAAATTTCACCCGACACGACTGTCATCAAATCAATCAAAAACACAACGTTCTTTGTACGAAAAAAATTAAATTACCTTAAAAATCTTCTTTCGGTCTCGAAAATCCTTCTCACGACGATATCACGTTGGAACAGTGAAAATCAATTTCCCCTTGCCTCACTCTTTAAAAAAATCTCTTGTCTTTCTTTACAGTTTATATACACTAAATCCGAATCTGCTGCAAGTGCGACGGCTTCTTCTTCTTCTTCTTCTGTGGCTCCGACAGTGAGCAAGCTCTGTGTCATACGGCCATTAACGGGCAAGTGCGACAGCGAATCGTGTTTTGTTTGACCTGCACCTTGCAACTTCTTCTAATAGGTCCAATTGGCCCTTTTCAAGTCAAATAACTGAACGTTGGCGCGGCAGCACGCCCTCTCGCGACGATCGTTTCGAGGCGGCGGCAAGTATGTATATTTAAATCGTTTTTTTCAACAGATTATGATCCCGTCACTCGCTCTCTCCCTTCGTTTTCCTCTCAACGTATTATAATTATTATTTTCTTTCGCAGAATATGACTGCCTGCAGGTTAGCTGCTGCTGGTCTATCGCACTTTTATAAAAATGATGCAAACCGGAGGATAGTTTTGCAAACTATTCATTTCCAATCGATCATCCAAGCCACTTCGTCAGATTGTGTACGCGCTATAAGGTAATTCTGCATTCGGTCAAAATTAGTAAAACATTCGAAACCGCATGAAGGGTTACATTGGTTTCAAACATACAATTTTTACAAATTTCGCATTCGACTGGACCGTTTTTTAAGCCCGGCCCCTGCATATTTTTCGTCGCGTGCATCTTCAAGATTCATGTTAATTCACCTCGAACGACCATACTTACCTACCGGCTTAAATTTATACGTTAGAGAGTCTTTCCTTGAGACTTGGCTGCGACTCTGCTGCTGCTGTATAGTTGCTAATTAGACGCGAACGACTTTAAACGGGAAGTACACACATTTACACACGTAAGTACGATGCAGTTTACTCGTACGAGATGCATTGCAGCTCGCATATTTGAGAGTATGTACAGGGACTGCACCGAGGCATAATATGTAGTGCGTTGCATTTGAAGCCGAGAAAGATTACGATCGCGCGGAGCTGTACGTGATTTTTCGAGCGAAGAATTCATGAAAGAGAATTGCGAGAATTTCTCCGCAGTTTTTTTTCGAAAGAATGGAATTCATTCATTACAGCGACGATAACTTGACAAATAATCGATGCGAAAGTTTTCTTTTCAACAATTTTATTAACACAATTTAATTGTAAACAACGTGTACCTCAATTTTTATATTTTATACATGGGAAATTTCAATTAATTTTTAAATGCAAACAATTTGTACAATTATCAAGGTGAAAAATATAAAACTTGCGGTACACCATACTAGCATGAAAATTGTTCTATGAGAAATTTGTGCACACAATTCTACACAAAATTTATTATCCTGGTTTAGGTTGTCCTTTCATAAAATTCTCCTCCTGCATGGAGATCTGTGTGAGCTTCTTGCCAACTCGTTCGTGAACGTCCAGATACTTGGCCACGCATCTGTCGATGCATACAGCCTCGCCTTTGCCCAATTCGTTTTCCGCGTACTTGGGTGCTATGCACTTCTTGTGACAAGCCTGTGTCATGCGATTGTACATGTCGCTCATCATCTCTATCTCCAGCTCTTGCACCAGCTTCATTTTATCCTCGTCGATGACAGGTTGACCAGCCATGTTTAACACTTATATACTTTTTTTTATTTATAAATAACAGTAACTTAGACTATGCGTCTATGGAATCAATCGATGAGTCCTGAATGCTTCGCTTTGTCTTGCTTGGATCAAATGGTGCGTTGGCTATTCGTTGACGTGCTTTCATTGCATCATAGCGATGGCTCAGTACGTATTCTCTGGATAGGTAGAAAGAATATAAACCAAACGACACAGCAATTCCCCTGTAAAAAGAAAATTAAAAAGTTTCAATGTTTTGCTTCGAATTTTCATTGACTACTGATTTCTCATTCTATTGAAATCTAGCTGTTATATAATTCTATAAATAATCAGTCAAACACGAGGCTTTTAACTCTATTAATCGAAATTCCTGAGACAAAAAACAGCCGGTTCACGAAGAAAATAATAAAACTGACGAATTGACCAACCACACAGCAACAATCAACTCCGAGCGGCGCGACAACAATTCAACAATCGTTCTAAAAATTCCATCGTGCAGAAAGCATGCAAAGTATGAAACAGAGTAACCGTGTAGCTCCAATTAAGTAAGGTTATGGCTATGCGGAGAAGCTACTCTCGGGGTCTCGTCGTCTTGCAAAGCACAAGGCCCTGAATCGCGCATTGACAGCACATGAAAATTCACTTTTTCCCTCACGCACCTACCATCCGATTGCTATTTTCGTATGCGCTGACAGTGGCATTATCGCTTTTCACACAAAAACTCGCCTATAGGAAGTTTTAAAAGAAAGAAATTGTCCCTTACGTATTAATGCCGACGACAGAATCGAGCGACTGCACACAGGCAACCAACAACGAATGTATGTGTCTCGTGGCTCGCTCGGTGCTATCATATGTGTACAACAGACGTCGCGAGTGCGTGCGCAATTCGTCTCTGACATAATCATAATAATACCGGCAGACGGCAGTTCACCACACTCAGCGTTTTGTCAGATACTGTTCGAGTCAAAAATTGGCAAGGCTAGCTATATCGATAAAACAGTGACGGACAGACATCCCATAATTCTTAATCGTATTCGGCAGTTTCTTTATCGAGTACGGAAATAATTACAATAGTACAGTAAGTCCACACCACAGCGCGGATTTCTTGTGCGGAGTTTTGCATCGGCTTGTTTTGTCGTGTAGTCGTGGGTGACAGTGCACCGGTGAAAGAAGCTTCGATCATCGACGTCAAGCAGAGTTTCGAGTCGTGGATATCTTGGATTGATTCATCCCACGCGCGCTTCCACATTTTACCGGTGTACGAGCAATTTTTATCACATCGAATCTGCTAGTTTCGAACCAGGTACGATCTTGCGAAAATGATGCTACCTCTAACTGAGGTTATGGTTTATATTTTGAAAAGAGCGGATGAAAATAATTGTAATTTACGTTTTTCAGCATCATGGAAACGAGAACAGAGTTCAAACTTAAGAATCCGCCGACTGATGCCATTTCGGCTGTTGAATTTGGCCCTAACTCGACACAATTTTTACTCGTTTCATCTTGGGACAATTCGGTTAGACTTTATGATATACAAACAAATACTTTGAGGGTGAAGTACAATCACGATCTACCAGTATTAGATGTAGCCTTTCAAGTAAGTATTGTAACACTGTATTAATTTTTATCGATAGCGTAATATTTTTAACGCAGTGTTTGTTTGTACCTTGCGCAGGATGCCGTTCATGCATACAGTGGTGGTTTGGGTCACGAATTAAAAATGTACGACATAAACACAAACACCGAAACTATCATGGGAACTCACGACAAACCGATTAGAAAAATTGAATTTTGTCCAGCAGTTAACGCAATTTTAACAGGTGGGTGGGATGCAGCTGTTAAACTTTGGGATCCAAGGTCTCCAACGTGTGTAGGAAGCTACCTCCAACCCGATGTTGTCTTTGCATTATCAACGTGTGGAGACAAGTTTGTAGTTGGCACGGCTAAGAGAAAAGTATGTATTTGGGACTTGAGGAACATGGCAGGTATGTTCCAAAGAAGAGAGAGTAGCTTAAAATATCAAACAAGATGCATCAAAGGTTTTCCAAATGAACAAGTAAGGAGTCAATTTATATTGTCATTGTTGAACTTTTATAAATAATTATTTACATGACTTAGTTATTCATAACTTTAATTTTTGTAGGGATATGTACTTAGTAGCATAGAAGGAAGAGTGGCTGTTGAATATTTAGATACATCACCAGAAGCACAAAAAAAGAAATATGCCTTCAAATGTCATAGAATTAAAGACAATAATATTGAACACATATATCCAGTTAATGCCATAAGTTTTCATTCTGGATATAACACATTCGCGACTGGTGGTTCAGATGGATATGTTAATATTTGGGATGGCTTTAACAAGAAGAGATTGTGTCAATTTCATCGTTATAATGCTGGTGTAGCTTCGTTGAGCTTCAGTCAGGATGGTTCAGTTCTAGCCATTGGAGTTTCCTATTTGAATGATGCAGAAATACCGGCTGGCGCTACAGATGAAAAGGAAGTGTACATAAGATATGTTAATGACCAAGAAACAAAACCAAAATAATATTTTAGTTAAAAAAATAATCGCATTATTTGGTAAGATTTATTCTTAAGTCTTTCCTAATATATTGTATAAAATATATTCCTATAAATTTGTATAAAAATTTCACGACTAATATAAATTTAAAATATTTATATTTACAAAGTTTTTACAATATTTCTTTTTTTTAGTATCAGTATCATAACATTAATTTTTTCAATGTACAATATTAATAAACAAATCAAAGCTGATTATAAACTGCTCAAAGCTGATTATAGTTGTTTACAAACAATTTCACATGAACTACATAAAAATTATGTACTATCACCAATTGAAATTCAGTTATATCTCTCAGTAATATCATGAAACCGTTGTTTTTGGAATTTACCAAAATACAACTCGACTGTCCGATCCTCTTCATTCACTACTTTTATTTTGTCATTCCCATCACGTTTAATCCTTATTTTTCTGTAAAAATTGACGAGTAAAATGTTAATTTCAAATTTTACCGATTTATAGTTTTCACAGTAGAAATAAAAAAACGAAGTTACTACCGGCACTCGTGACCACACTTCCACGACTGGCACTCCGGATTCGAACACTGAAATAAATGACAGCCGGGACAATCTTTATCCAAACAGTCGCACAATAACTCTTTTTCCCGCTCCGCCTGTTTTCTTTTCTTCCGAAGGCTTTCTTTTTCATTAAAATTCCTCAATTGATATTTGGCAGAGCAGTACTTCCAAAACGTATGCCCTCCTTTTTGTCCAAGCACGAAACAGTCATCCTAGCGAAATCAATGAAATCATCGCAATTATCGAATTGTTTGTTCGTTTTTTCTTCAAAATACTCACAAACTCTCCGCTATTGAATGTGACCTCATCTTTCTTCCTTACTTTGATCCCCGCATTTGGCTCAGCTGGTTCCTTCTCACGTGGCTCAGCTGGTTCCTTCTCACGTGGCTTAGCTCGTACCTTCTTAAGTGGCCTAGCTAGTAATAGGCAACTTCTAGTAATTGGTATCTTCTCACGTGGCTTAGCTAGTACCTCCTCATGTGGCTCAGCTACTTCCTCCTCGTTTCGCTGAGCTGGTATCTCTTCATTTGGCTCAGCTACTTCCTCCTCATTTCGCTGAGCTGCTTTCTCCTTATTCATGTTCTGGGATGTAAATTGAATGACCAATTCAACGATAAGATGCACGGAAATTCCTAAAATTTGATTCTATATCCGTTTCGTAGAGCAGATCGTGTGGTCTTTTGGAAGATGTAAACAGAGAGTGAGTGACAGTTTCAGTGGTCTTCAAATTGAACGAGATTAATCGTTAATTTGTATAAACATTTCTACATTACTGAAAAGAATCATAACTCACCCGGTGTATAGAAAAATGGGGCAAATTTAAAAAATTGAGAGTTTTAATGCAATAAATCTATTGCCATTCGTAATTTAGCATAGGCATTGCTCTTCTAAGTTGAGTTATTACATTTTAGCTTTGTATAAAGAGAGAAAAATTTTATTTCAAAAATTTAATTTAATAAAAGTTAAATTGATGCGAAATGTATCCACAGTCAATTTCCCGTCAGTTTCCTCTGGCAATCTTTCTTTTTCGTGATACGATATTACGGAGCAGAACCAGCCAACATCTGAAAGTCGAAATTTAGCTGGAGGTTTATTTTCTCGGCTCGAGATCGAACGGAAGAATTGAGAGAAAATAGTAAATTTCAAAGAATTGACATTAGTTTGAATGGGTGTGCAATCCATATTTTTGGCCTACAATGAATTATCTCGACTGCTACAAAAAAGACTGTCCGAGGAAAAGTGGTGGAAAATCGGCAATTTTGAAATCTGGAAATTTTTTCAAAAATTCTTTAAGTAATAGAATGTACTATGTTAAGTTCGTACGAACGACAATTATAGTCAAAATAGTCCACTTGGAGGGTAGAATGAAATTAATCAAACATAGAACATTTTTTTGCAGGATGTAATGCAGTTACATGAAAACTAAGTTAATTTATTTGTGATACAATATACAATATACAGTCGGAAATAGCGTTCAGGGCTACTCATTTAACATTGTGAGATAGATTGATTCGTTTTGTTCATGTTATTCAGAATTAAAACATCGTCGATTGATTATTTCGATTCCTACGTAGCTCGACTCATATTGACATGCGCTCGAGCCCTAAAAATCCAAAGAAATGGCCTTTTCTATACTCGTCTATTGCCTGCCTGTATGGCTCATTTGTAAATTTTTCATCCGATCCTTCGAAAATTATTTCTTCAAACATATCGTCGCGCCCCCGTCTGTAAAAATTAACGAGTGACAAATTAAAAGTTGACAGGAATTTTGACGATTAAAAAAAAAAGGTAGAAAAACCGAACGAGTTACCGGCACGGGTTGCCGCACTTCCTCGAGCTGCAAGTCGAGCACGGAAAGTGACAGCCGGGACACTCTCCGTCCAAGCAGTCGCACAGGTCCTCCTGGGTGGGAATAAAAATGCCATTCTCGTCGTACAATTGCTCGTGGATCTCGCCCCTCGTCGCGGGCTTGGCTTTCGCCGCGGACTCGCCGGACTTGTTCGCCGCGGTCTTGGGCTTCGGCGTGGTCTTGAACTTTGCCTGAGGCTCGAACCTCGCCGCGAGCTTGCTGGACTTCGATTTGGCCTCGGGCTTCTGCGGCGTACTTTTCAGGCTTTCGCGCTCTTCCAGAGACCTGCGATTCTCTTCGAGCTCCCGCGGCGCATTCCTCGAAGAGACTTGCTTGGGTTTTGCCGCATGCTCGGGCTTTTCCTCGAGCTTCTGGAGAACATTTTTAAGGATTTCGCGCTCGATTGGACGCTTGAACCTCTCTTCGAGCTCCCTCAGCGCACTCCTTTTAGAAGCGACGTGCGTAATCGTCCGAATTCGTGCCTCCAATTTTTTTCTCTCTCTTTTACCTGGAACCCAGCCTTGGAAGAAGTTCATTTTATCGCTGTACACTAGTTTGCCATGTTTGTTGAACTCGAAGCAGTCGGGCTATCGGTGAAATCATCCCAATTAACAAATAGTTTGTTCGTACATTTTTTTTCTCCAATTACTCACCATCCTTTTAAATAACGGCAGATCTGCACGCTTGATTGGTAACTTCCCAATTAGCTTATCCAGAGTTTTGACACCCTTCTTTGGTAACTTCGTGGTTGGCTTAACCAGAGTTTTGACACCCTCGATTGGTAACTCCGTAATTAGCTTATCCAGAGTTTCGTCATTCTCGATTGGTAACTTCTTAATTGGCTTATCCAGATTTTTGAGATCCTCGATTGGTAACTTTGTAATTGACTTATCCAGGGTTTTGGCACCCTTGAAGTATAACCCCCTAACTAGCTTATACAGAGTTTTGTCATCCTTGATTTGTAACTCCGTAATTATCTTATCCAGAGTTTCGTCATCCTCGATTGGTAACTCCTTAATTAGCTCATCCAGAGTTTCGTCATCCTCGATTCGTAACTTCGTAACTGGCTTATCCAGAGTTTTGACACGCTTGATTTGTAACTCCTCAATTAGATTTTCCACAGTTTTGACATCCTTGATTGGTAACTCCATAGTTGGATCATCCAGAGTTTTGACACTCATGTTGTTGAATGATAATTAATTTATCAATTAGAAAAAAATAAAATTCCCAACGATTTCCTAAAATTTGATGTTATATCCGTTTCGTAGTAATAAACTGTAAACACTGAGCGAGAGAAAACTTCAATGCTTTTCAAATCGAACGCGATCGATCATGAAATTGTATAAACATTACAGTATCACTGGATAGAATAATAATACATCTAGTGTATAGAAAAATAATTGGAAAAGTCGTTGGAACGAGAGAACAGTTAGTTTGAAGAGAATCCACTGGCTATTACTAGGATTCAAAAATTCAAAATTTTACTAATAATTTCTGTCCTTAGTTATATATATTCAATTGGAATATTAAGCATGCTAATAATTTTAGGCACAAAATAATTTCATTAAGTATAAAACTATTATTATTGTCAATATTGCACAATACAAAAATCTTAAAGAGAGTTCAGTTAACATACATAGTTATTCATAATTTTTAATCCTAATAGATTTGTTTAATATTTTCCATGTCATACATTTTCTCTTATAATCAACAACGTAAGAAAGGTTCAATTGTGTCGCTTTCTTTATTTATTAAACTTCTGATTTTCAATGACAAATTATTTTCATAGGTAATATTTATGTACAATTTTCAGTCACACAGATAACATTTATAATTATAGGTAACTCACCCTTATTTGTAAAAATCAAGTTTCGCATGATCTCGTAAATATAGACGCGGTACGGATATTTTCTTTACTAAGAAATTGACTTTTTGCGTTGGAAGATGAAGTACAAAATTAAAATAATTTAAATTTAAAAAAATATATAGATCATTTTTAAAATTTACCTAGAAATACAAACGTAATTTTTTTAAAGTACAAAATCAGATAAAAAATTTTGTACTTATGACTACACAAGCACTAATAATAATCATATTCATATAATCACATCGAGACAACTTAAAGATATTTTGATTAAAATGTTTCAAAAACGCCTTTTCAAAGACATCACATGTAGAATGTAAATAGTAAAATTCTCTGTCAATCAAATAAGCCATTTTATTAACAGGCAATTTTTCTCAAAAAATCTTTTACCAAGTCATATGTGGCAAAACTGATTCCTACTGCAATAGGACCTTTCACCCAATTCATACTTAAGCCTTTATAAAAAGACATGACACCTTCTTCTCTGTAAACAAAGGAGAATTTGTAAATTAATATACAAAAAAAGTTTTATTCATATCAAATTAACTTACCCATATATTTTTTTTGTCATTGCAATGACCCCAAGATTTTGTTGATTTCTGAGTGAAGAAGTTTGCATCCTTCTACGAACCATATCTAATGGGTAGCTGCTAGCTTGTCCAACCATTCCTGCGACAGCCCCAGATAAAAGACCTGATACAGCCAATAATCCGGGACTATTAACAGCATAAACTATGAAAACATAAAAATACAATTGTTTTTAAAATATAGACTTTCATCAATTGAACTTGTTAAATTATTGTAGCTTACCAGCAAACAAATTTTTAAACATATCATAGAAAAAGAAACTGCAACCTGCATAAGGAATAACTCCTAGTATTGTTGGAGTGAAACCATGATAAAATGCTGCTATTCCTTCTTTACGATAAATTGTGACAAAAACTTGACGCAGAGTACTGAATTCATCTTTTTGAGTAACAGCCATTTGAGCTCTTGCTAAATCTAATGGATAAGTCATAGCTTGTGAAGTAACCCCAGCAAGTGAACCAGCGAGAAACCTTTTCTCTTTGCTCCTGTAGAAACAAAAGTAAAGTTACAAATAAGCAATAAAAACAAACTTATGAAAATTATAAAAAAACCTTACGAGTTAGGTGTATCAACATTGAGAATCCTTTTCCACTGTTCATGAGCTGTGAACTGAATTGCTGCATACGGAATGATCCTTACCATTGTAGCACTGTTCCCTCTCCATAAGCTAAGCAAACCATCATTTTTATATGTACAGACTAGAAAGTTGATAGCAGCTTTTGCTGAGAATGGTTGTTGTGATATTTGAAAATTGATCTTTGTCCTGTCGAGTGGGGCAATAGTTGTTTTCGCTGCCCCACCAGCAATAGCTCCAGCTGCAAGGCTCGTCCATACTCTTTGAGAATTTGTAATACTCTCATCTTTTGAGGATGGTGTCACAACTGCTTGTGTCTCTTCTTGCTGAGATTCATACAAACATTTATAAATTTTAATATTTTGATCGATTTAAGAAGATAAGAAATAAGCATGCTCACTTTGACACCGCTGTTTGGCTTCATCACTGCTACAGGTATCAAATGTGTCTTGTTCGAGCCGCTCACAGCTGCAGGTATTTTGATGCTGTTTCCTAGGCTGCTGTCCACATGCCCATTCATTCTTGTTTCCTTGCAACAAGTGAGTTATCTTCTTTCCCTTCTCAATCTTGTTCATCTTTAGAAAGGAAAACTTGCAAGAGCCATAGTTCAAGAACACCTAGAACAGACACATTAGAAATCATTGAATAAACGACGCTATCAGTCTTAGCATTGCAAATCAGCGGCAGCAATCATGAAAATCTTACATAATTGCCACTATAACGACGAATTAATTGATGTTTCGTCTAGGCTATTCAATTGGCGCTTCCTTTCGCGGTGGCAAACAAAAATAAGCTGTTTTTGCTGCCAATCTCTAGGTGCACACACGCACACACGCAGCACAGTTATTTTGGAATACAAAAAAACTCGATAAGATAACGCTTTCGAGGCACGGTGATTGGTACATTTAGCAGAAATGTAACGAGATACATCTGTCGTGCGCGTAAACCGATATTACGAACGCGAAATTTGCTCAAAAAATTGATCGATCGAATTTTTTTTTTTTTTTTTAATTTCTCGCGTGAATTTTTTACTTTTCGATCGTCGCGTTACGTAACCGAATCGATTTTTTTGTTGCTGCTTCTTTATTTTTGCTTCGCCGCCGAGTACGAGAACAAAGGAAAAATCTTCCGTAAAGTAGGCGCGACGACGATTCGTCTCAAGAACGCGAAACGAATATACATGCATACCTTTCGGTCGGTCGTGTGTATGTATTGTACACACATATTGACATGTACATATGCACGAACGCGCTAAAGTGCGTAAGTTAACACGCGCGAACTGTGTGAAGGGCAAACGCGCGGAGTACGAAGGCAGAGAGAGCTGCTTTGTTAATTTTAAAAATAAAAAATTAAAGCGATAATATCGCGCAAAAATCAAAGCACTCGCGATCGCACGCTCGCATCGAAAAAAAAACATCGCGAATGACTTGGCGTTTTCAAAAAAAAACAATTAACTCGACACGTACATCGCGCACAAAAAAAAAAATTAATAATATATTTATGTAAGAGAGAATGCAAAAAATATCGCATATAGGAAAAAAAAGTAATTACCTGTGATGCGTGTACATCGAGGTGTATATCGAGATGTAAACAACAGCAGCAGCAACAACAACAACGTCGAAACAACGCAGAAATGAAGAAAAAAAAGGTAGTCACGTTGCGAGTGTGTATATGACTCTCGATGTGCGTTGCGAGCGAGCTTGAGTATTCAAGCCTAATAATAAAAGATCCAAGCGTGTCTGCTACTGCTACTGCTACTACTGCTACTGCTTCCGATGGTGGTGGTGGTGATGTTGGTGGTGCAGTGTTTTATATACAACGACGACGATGAGCCCAGACTTGCACGCGCGCACACAAAAGGCTGCTGCTGGCTGCAGCTTTTATAATCGACGACTCGACTATTAATTGCACACACGCTCGACTGCACGGCGCACTGATCTATATATCTATTTTGACGACTACTACGACGACGAACGACCTTGAGGATGTTTCAAGAGAGCTTCGAGTATCGGAGTGCTGCGACGCGCGATGATGATATGGAAAAACGCGACGAGCCGCGAGTTATTTGCAACGTGCGTGCGTGCGCGCGTGTGTTTGTGTATGCGTCGTAAATACGAATATGATCGATCGATCGCGCGTTGCACGGCACGCGAACGCGTTCACATCTTGCGGCTCTTCGATGTTAATTTTTTTTTTTTTTTATTTCTGTAAAACGTACGCGTTATCGGTGATACGCGTGCCTTCTTCTTTTGTCGAGTGTTTTTGTGCGGGAGAGCTTTCGGCTGAACGAATTCCCAACCTTTTTCTGGCACGTCGGCGAGCCGTCGTCGTCGAGGCGCCGATGATGATCCGTCCGCAGCACTGCGACCACGACACGCGCAGATATAGTTATGGACTGCAGCACACGATAGAACTGAACGGAACACTTGCGCGACGACGACGACGACAACAACAACAACACATTCGGAGCAGCAGCAGCAGCGACGACGACGATCGCACTGCCTGCTGCTGCGCGTTGTGTTGCGTTTCGTTTTACGGAGTTACCCGCATATAACGCAGTCGGTGCGACTGCTGCTGCTGCTTCTGTATAGGCCCGCTGTTGGTATTTTAAAGACTCGCTTGCGGATTCCGAATGAAAAAGATAATTCCAAAATTTATAATTATTTGACAAACGTACGGACGAAAATTTCAAAAAAGTTTCATTTTGACCCCTTTAATAAGACACCGTACAAGGATTAATTGAATCGATATTATAGGGGAATTTTGCCTCATTGTCCACAATTTTGCACTGACACTTGAACATTTTACAGTGCTATCGATATTCTTATTGCTTGTTCTCCTAGTTTCAAGCAAAAAAGCCTTAATTTGGTAAAAAATAAAAGTAAGCACGTGGTTTCAATCTGCTTCGCAACCAACTGTAATTCCAACATGGTTTTTACTAGACCATAGTAAAGTAAGTAATATGGAGTTTGGTTTTTAATAAGCCGATATGGGCTTTCGCATTGCGGAATTACCCGCGCGCTGTTGGTAATTCCATGTCGACTATAAACTAAGAGGCGCGCGCGTCGCGCGGCGACTGCCGTGCCGAGAGCGTGCCAGCGCGTGGATGGTTCGAGTTCTGCATCAGTAGAGGCGCTTTCGGCTCCGCGTTGAAATTATCATCTCGGTATAATACAGCAGTTTGTGCGTCGGTGTGTTCGTTCGTGCATGTATACACTCGGTTGGAGTTAGTATTTACCCAGCACGTCACTGCTCGCTTCACGTATATATAATATACACTACTTCGGCGCAGCAGCAAGTAGCAGCAGCAGCTCAGATGATGGAAAATCGTCGATAGGTGCGGAACGTGCGCGCAACAGAAGTAATATACAATATACATTCGTTCGGCGAGTATATACAAGTGCGAGAAATATAAGACTCGCGCGTCGTTGTTGGTTCGTTCGTTGTTGTTGTTGTTGCTATTGCATTGCTAAAGAGGCGCAGAGGCGGCGGAACGCAGTGCGTGAGCGGATTAATAAAAAGCGAAAAGAAGGAGTCTTCTTTGTTGCCGTTTTATTCGCTATCGTGTGCCAACTGTACTGTGTGTGTGATTGTGGAGAGTAGTAGTAGCGAGCTGCTATCGTCGTAAAACGAGAGTGAGTGCACGCCGATAATAATATAATACACACGTACTAGCCAAGAAGAGATCGAGGAAAGCTTTGCTGTTGCTGCAGCAGCAGGGGAGAGTGCAACAGAGAGCGAGCGAGCTATTTTTGGAGCTTTGAGGTTAGTATAGGTGTCTCTTTCTCTCTCTATCTCTCTATCCTGCGTGCATGTGCGTGTGAGTGTGACCCGGAATAACAAAAGGTTCCAATAACTGGGGTGAATTTTCAGCGCAGTCCGCGTGCAGCATCCACGGACGCGAGTACGTGTGCGTGCGTAGCGCGCGAGATCAGCTGACGTATCTCGCGTCTGCCAAAAAAAAAAAAAAAAACAAGAAAAGTGCAGCGCGTTATATCGCAACTTTTTGACGGATACGTAGATTTCCGGAGGCATGTCCCTCCCCCGCGCGATACGTACACGCCGAGAACCGCGGTCGATTGATTAAAAGTCGGTTTGCAACGTTGTTATACACAATTATAACGAATTACGCGTAATCGACGCGCGCGGGAGAGGGAAAAGCGATGATATTATATGTGGAGTCGACTCTTATGCGTCTGCATGCAATGCCACACACACACTCACACATATACACAACGCAGTGAAAGTGATATTATGTGCACGTTATATATATTATTACGAGCCAGTCGAGAGTCGCTCGTTCTTTTTGGAACGTCGCTTCGTCGAGTGTGTGTGTGTGTGTGTGTATCTCTCGAATTTAATCAATCGTCGTTACGCACATGCAGATACAGTATATAGGGTGGTTCTCTTTGCGAGCGTGACTCATCTCGGGTTTCTATCTCTCTCTCACTCTCACTTACAATATTGGAATTCCTCGGTGTATTTTTTTTTTTTTTTTTTATATATATAGCTCCGAAAAGAAAAGCTAATAAAAAAAAGCTACTCGGTCGGTGCCAATGAAAGAAATTTTCGTTATAAAACCCGGATTCGAAGGAAAAGCCCGTGCCAAGATAAAACAAAATATTCCAAAAACCCGCACCGTTCATCGTTATAATATATAGAACGAGAGACGCTCACGCAGCGGCAGCGGTGGTTTTTTCGCGTGTAACGTGCGTCGCCGAAAGATGTCACGGTCAGTTTCGATACTCTGGAAGCATCTCTCTACTCTGTCTCTATGTATTATAATAAAAATATTTGCCAGCAGCAGCGGCACGCGTTAAACCCGCGACGAGCACCTCTTCGACTCGTGACATACGGCATTGTTCTCTCTCTCTCTCTTTTTACTTGGCTGTGCCAATGAATTTGAAAATACTCGAGATAAATCGTTGGCCGATTGTCAATCGCCCCGCGCGCGCGAATCTCCAGCGACATATGTCTCCGTGCTTGTCGTATACTTTAATTTTTTTCACTCTCGGCTCCTCTTATCGATAGCGAAATTCTCATTTACGCACGATACGTCGTTTTTTTTTGTACGAAGTTGTAAAAAAAAAAAAAATCGTTGTCCAATCTTCTATATCGTGTAACTAATCAACGCGAGTTATAGCCGGCTTCTTAAAAAAATGTGTATCGAATATAATACACAAAGTAATAAAACTTATTATCAGATATCGTATGCACATAGGCGTGTCCGCGGGAAAAATTAATATCACGATGATGTGCGAATTCAACGGAACGCGTATTCGATCGATCGTATACAACAGTGACCCACGCACAAGTACAGAGTTATTTTGCAAAGTATATAAGCGCCAGAAGCCAAAACGGATTAGGCTGCGTCTCTCTCGGAATATTGTTTCGGAGCGAGTTTTAAAAATAGCCTTCTCTCTCGGCCGAGTCTCGTAATAATGTAATATTATATTAAGCCGCGCGCGCGATAAAAGTACACACGCGCTCGCATACGCAATGTTATAAATTGCAACCGACGACGAACTTTCATTTTCCCAGACCCGCGTATGAAACGCACGCAGGTAATGTGGCGTTTGTGTGTGTACGTGTATTATGTGTGTTTACGTGTGTGTATATATATGTACGACAGTCGCGCCGCGTTGCATCAGCTGTTTGACGAAGAAACGGGTTTGACAGTTGTGTGTGTGTGTGTGTGTGTGCGTGTGTTGCATCTCCTTATACTCGCCGCCGCCGCCGCTGTAAATTCCAGGCGATATTTTTGCAATGCATACACGTTACGTTAATACAGAAACATCGTGTCTATTTTTGTTTTGAAAAAACAGAGAGACAGAGAGAGAGAGAGAGAAAAGTAGAAGAAGAGAATAAAAAAATGACGTTCGACGTCTCGCATACACACGTTGTCTCGCAACAAAGACGAAAAAACAAAAAAAAAAAAACAGAGCCAACGATGATAATGCGCTCCTCGAGGCGAAGGAAAAAAACCGATGCTAATTTTGCCGTGTGGTTGTATATCGGACTCGAGCATACACATTATTTTGCGATCATCCGTAATAACGCGCCGCGCGCACTGGACGTCGCGTCGCGCGCGGATCGTCGAAAAACCATATGTATAATAATAATAACAGCCGCGCGTCGTATCAATGACGCAGACTAGAGCTTCCTGCGCACACATTTATTGCACGCCGCAAAGTACCTGTGTATTATATATCGCGAAACGCGCGCCGATTAAAGGACACGGCTTCTCGTATCATTATAAACTTGTATATACTACTTTTTGCTATCGAAGCGCTGCGGCGAAATGAATGTTCTTCTCTTTCTTGCTTACTTGTTCGTTCTCGCGTGAGTCCACCGCTCTCTTATAATATACCAACGCTATTAATACAAAGACTTTTTTTATATATATTACGATGCCTCCTTCGTGCATCGCATCGTGTACATAAAGATTCGTGTTTTGTTTGCTCAACTTCCGAGGCGCGAGCTCGAACTTTCACGCGGTTGCGATGCACACTTCCACCCGTGATAGATAATGATGATACTTTGTGCGCGGATTCAACTCCTCGCGTTGCCGGACACGCGCGTGAATTGAGCGCAAAAAAAGTGTCCCCACCGGGGCCACACACACACACGCTTGTTTTCTCGATCTTTCGATTTATCATTTTTATATATACGTACAGGCGCGCGCGCGTCTCGTTTCGAGGAGATGAAAAATCACGCCTGCGAAGCGCGAAATATTTATCCAGTCACTGCACTGTGTAAACGCACACACGCGCGCGCACACGTTATTCGTGCAAACTCATGGGAGTAAGAAAATAAAAAAAAAGCGAAGAAGAAGACGAAGACGACGTAGTCTCGCGAGCGCGTTAAAATAACTTTTTCAACGCCGTTCAACCGTGTCAGATTGTATGCATTATGTAAAATCAGTCGCTTCGCCTCTGCGCAGTCTACTGAATTTGACTCGCGCGCGCCGATGTACTCTTCATCGAGCTATAAACTTTTTTGACGCGCGCGCGTGCCGTGAGTGTATTTACATTATTAAAGCGCCCAGTGGCCCTGACACTTTTTACTCCCCGTAATTAATTACATCGTTAATTTTCTTTATCGAAAAAATTAAGAATTCTAATTAAATTTCTGCTCGACTTTTGCAGAGTAAAAAAAGGTACATCCTTGACCGGAGCGAATCAACCTCGCTGAAAATAATGGCCAAAGGAGGAGGAATGTCAGGAGGTGGCGGAGGTGGCGGCGGCAGCGCCTACGGACCCAGCATGGACGCCGGTCCCTACATGCCGTCCGCGCCCCTGCCCTCGGCGCCGCCGTCGTACGAGGAGGCCGTGGGTCTCGTCGCCGCGCCGGGAGCGAACATGCCGCAACCGCCGCCCAATCCGGGCTATCCCACGGGTCCGGCGTCGATGCCCATGCCCATGCCCATGCCCATGCCCATGCCGATGCCACAGCCCGCGGAGCCGGCGCCGGTTCACGTGACGCAGCCACGGGCCAGCAGTAGCCAACACCAACAACAACAAGCCGGTAGCAGCGCCAATAATCCCACGGTGAGGGTGATACACCAGCACGTGAGCCTCGCGCTCGGCCCGAATCCCATCAAGATGTCGTGCCCGTCGTGTCACGCCGACATCAAGACGACCACCATGTCGGATCATCAGCCCAGCGCTCACGTCTGCTGCATCATTCTCTGCCTACTGGGGTAAGTTTTTAAAGAAAAAAAAAAAAACAATGATCTAATCTCGCTCTCAACGACTCGAATCTTTTTGCTAATTGTGTTTTTTGCCCGCAGGTGCTGTCTGTGCTCGTGTTTACCCTACTGCTTGAGCTCGTTCCTCAGCGTACACCACTTCTGCCCGAACTGCAAGGCCTACATCGGCACGTGGAAGGGCTGACCGTGCGAGGGCGAGACCATAGTGGCGGCGGCGAGCAGCAGCAGCGGCCGCAACCACCGGACCATTGTTATCCTTGGCTAGCCAGAGAGATAACGTTGACCCGCGTTGTATAAATATTATTGTTAAGCCTGTGCCGCGCAATCGCAACGCATCGCAGCAACGAACTCGAAGGCCTCGAGGCGCGGGCCGCTCAGCATCCTCCTTTTTTCGTCCAAGGTTTTTCTCCAGCAATTTTCTCCAGCTCGAACGAACCGTCGATGTTTATTTATTTTTCGTCTTCTCTACTGTGGGCTTTCGCGCGTTTCGCGCATACATTATAATAGTACGTAAGAGAGAGAGAGAGAGAGAGAGAGAGAGAGAGAGATAACGTTTTTCAATTATCTGTAATATGTACATAGCGTGTGGTCATCCGTCACTCGATACGAGAAAATGAAAGTGAAAGAGACAGAGAGAGGAAATAAGTCTCTTATCAGTATTTCTTTTTTTTTTTATTATCGTGCGATATTAATTCAGCATTGCCAAATGTGCAGTCGTAATTATGTATCAAGTATAAACTGCTTCAATGTAATTAAATTCTCATCGAATCCGACGTGTTTTTTTTTGTCACCTCCTACTCGAAAGAAAAGCTCTGTACATATTTCCAAAACCATATTTAACGCATACATAAATTATATATGATGTGAGATCGTCGAATCTGTTAGAGATATACTGGAAACGGTATACGTAAACGAAACCGAATTGAATGCATAAATGCGCTTAGCGAGAGAGATATTTGTACAGATTATTTTTACGAATTGTGTACAAAATACAACAAAAAAATGGCGTGAATAAATCACGATATGCGTTTAAAGCTTTGCTTGCGCTATACTCGAGAATCGCTTGTTGAGAATCTATAGGGGAATGATAAAAAAAATATATAAAACTACGAATCGTTTATGTGTTAAGATTGTTGCTGCGTACAACCGAAAATAATGCATAGTTATTTTTATCATTTTTACCGTAGGTAAAAAGCAGATGAGGGAGAATGAAGAACAAAGTATACAAATTTATAATTAAGAAATAGTTTGTAATTATTTTTTTTACTGTTCATCTGATAAATGTTAAATGTATAATATACAAACAACTGCGCAGTGGTGTGTGTGTGTGTATGTGTGTGCGAACACCACACATCGACGTCGACAGCGAAACGTCGTTATTACGTGCTCCATCGCTTTAATTATTACAATCGCAACAACAGCCTATATACCGTGTAAATCTTTCGTTTCATTCCAAGCGTACCAGAGTCAATTTTTTTTTTTTAATACATACCTATTTTTATATACTATGTATATTGTGTTTTTATAATTATCATTTATATTTTTTGACATGATTTTTTTCGAAAGAACATGATTAGGTTTTGTTTGTTTTTTTTTTTTTAATTAATTTTTAAATGCGTTTATTTAGTTTTTAAGTTTAATTCTTTAGCAGTGATTCCACTCGATTGTTGTCGTAATCTTCCATTGTATAAAAAAAGTCTACTATTAAGGCGACAGAACTTGTTCGCGTACAATTTTTTTTTTATTAATATCTATATATAGAATATATATAATATCATTTATAACGAGAATAAAATAAAAAACTTGTTTCCCGAACACGTGATGCTGATTGTTATTTTCATTCCTTCGAACACAATGAAAACATTTAATGTAATAATTATAAATAGATACACAATTAGACTTTGACGTATCAAATTTACAGAACTTTACACGATCGCTTGCAATATTGGCACTCCATTCGAGCTTTATCATATCACATGTATGCAAATACCCGCAGGATAAAACTCGGAATCGTAATGATGATCTAATTTATACACGCTGCGTGTATTTACGATGATTTCAATTAAAACTCGTCGCGTTCGCGCGTGCTCCGGACGTGTCAACGTTATACATCGAGTAACATATTACAAAAATGACGATCGAACGACGCGGCGCGATATATCGACGATACAATATGTACACACGATAGATCTCTCGCCTCGATAAAAGAGAGAGAGATAGGGAGGAAACTGCGACTACTATGTCGAGGGCCGCAGTGCCGCATACGGGTCGTTGGTCGCTTCAACGCGTGTGCGGCGGCACGAAATTTTCCAGCTTCTTGTTGGGATTGAGCATCTGTCGGGCGACCGAGGACAGCTCCATGTCGATGGGCTTGGTGTCGTCGTATAGGGCCGGGGCCTCGCACAGTATCACGATGGTGCCGACGAACGAGGCGATGGCGAACACCCACAGGAACAGCCGGTCTAGGACCATCGCCACGAAGCCCCAGTCCTGGTCCTCCTGCGGATTGAGTTTTTTTTTTCAATTGTTTTCTTAGGCGGTACTCGATATGAAAAACACGAGTTGCTTTAACTAAAATTATTTATCAATAGTTTTTACGTAGAAGTAAATTGACAGAAGCAGTTGACATCAATGATGTTGCAAAGTATTTTTAAATGAACATTAATTAACAATTTGGCTTGCTTTTGAAGATTTAAATAAAAAATTTAAATGAGCTTAAAAGTGACAATTTAATTGTTTTAAAAAATTTTACACCAGCTTCGAACACCACTTTAATTGCGACAATACCACTAGATGGCGAGTACTTTAATCTGTAAATCTGTAAGTGGTAAAATATTTCTATAAAAGTACAAGTACACGTGTACGCGTGTATGTACGCGTGTCGACGCACGTCTTGGCCATTTTTAAACTCACATTTTTACGGAAAAAAAATTAATAATGATAGTTAAGAAATCAATCAACAAAATTGAATAGTAAAAATTGAGACTCATGGCTGAACAATTCCAAAAATCAGCTGTGTAAGAGCAGCTGTGAGATGTTGAACTTCCATGCGTATGTTACAATTAAAACATTCAAGCAGTTCAGTTTATAATAAAATAAAAATGTTGTAGCGACACATTTTGTGTCGATTATGATCGAAATGATTTTTATTTAAATTCAACCCTTTAACGCCCAACATTGCAATTTTGCGCATCAATTTTTGATTGCTTGAAAACCATAGATAAAGTTTATGTTTTTTCTCGAAAATTCGTAACCAGGGGTTTTTGGGTGTGCTCTTTCAAAATCTGGTATTATTTTTGCAAAATATTAACAAAATCATTGCTTATTAGGCAAATAAAAAAAACGTGATTTTTCGACTCGAAAATTTATTTACAAGTCGATTTTCGACCTCTTCTTGCTATCGGAGGGCTCTGGAAACCCCAAGAGTCGTGCAGTTTTGCTATAAACCTTCGAGAAAAACAATATCGGGATTTTTATCAAGGCTCTTTGCTTCTAAAATGGCGGACTTAAACCATGCAGCTGTATCGAACTTCATCAATTTTTTACTCGACAACCGTAAGCTTGACGAAAAATTTTTATAGAACAAAAAGGATTTAAAATTGTTCAAAGTATACGTCAGAGTTTTTTTCAGAATTTTTTGAAAATATTTTTGATTTTTCAAAATTCGGTCATTTTACAAAATTCTCAAAGATATCCACAAATTCTGAAAAATTTCACATTTATTCTTTACGGACGATTACAAACACTTTTTGTTCTATAAATTTTTTTTCTAAAGCCAATAATGAGCGAGTGAAAAATTCATAAAGTATTTATAAGTATACAATCAGTAAAATAGATTTTTGAATTTAATTCATTCGCGTGTAAGATAAATGAACATTCAATCATATAAGTTTTCGAAAATGAGCTCTTACAAGGAGACCACTCCAGCTCCGGGTCATGGATTTGCTCCAAAATTTTTTTACGATCTCCTGGTACCCAATACTGAAGCTCCCTGTGTTTAGTTTTATCTCATGGGCCTTAGTTTGATCTCTTAGGGCCCATTTTTTAGAGGATTTTCCACATTATAAAGAAATCTTTGTTATTTTCTATATCGATATAGAAGTACTTGAATCTGCTTGAATTTTTTCATAACTTTTGGGACCATCTACCATTTAATTCAAGAGTCCCAAATTGGACGCTTTTTTATAGATTTTAGGACTTCTTAAAGAGAGTGATAATGTGGAAAATCCTCTAAAAAATGAGCTCTAACGATGATTATGAAGTAGCTATAACGATATGAAAAAAAACAAATACAAAAAAAAATCGTACCGCATTGAAGTCGTCTTGGCGCTGTATATGATGCTGTATGAACATGACGTTGTGTATCGCCTTCTCCAGCTCGAACGGGTACTTCTTCCTGGCGGCGATGTCGCTCATCGAGTCGCACTCCACCCCCGTGATCACTCCGGGCACGGGCATGCCGTTGTACGGCTGGAAGCGATGATGCGGCTGGGTACCGCCGCCGCCCACCAAACCGTTGCAGCCTGCGGCCGCCAGTCTGCCGCGCAGCGACTCTGGCGACGACAGCAGCGAGCCGTTGCCGCCCTGGCCACCTTGGCTCTGGGCCGCCGCGGCCGCTGCGACCGCCGCCTCGAAGGCCGTCTTGGGCTGCTGCTTCTTGCCGCTGTGATTGTTCTGATCGAGATGATTGCCGGACTTGCCGCCGGCCGAGTGGCTGCCCCGCAGCAGTCCGCTACGGCCGTAGATCTTGCGACCGGCCATGTCGTCGAGCAGATCGTCCGGGACGCGCATCAGCAGTAGCTTGGGCAGTCGCCGGATGAACACGCCCCTGACCCACTGGGCCATCTTGTGGGTGCTGGGCTTGCGATAGTGCACGTTGAGTATGATGATGGTGACGACGACGGACAGGCCCACCAGCACCATGGTGAAGAGCAGATACTTGCCGAGGAGCGGCAGCGCCAGCGAGGTCGACGGTATGATCTCGGAGATGAGCAGGAAGAACATGGTCTGCGAGAGGAGGATGTTGATGCAGAGGGCGATCTTTTCGCCCGAGTCGGCGGGCAGGTAGAACGCCAGGACGGACAGATAGGAGATGCCGACGCAGGGGATGATGAGGTTGACGGTGTAGAAGAGGGTCTTGCGACGCAGAGTGATGTTGAAGAAGATGTCGATGTAGGGCTCGTGACAGCACGGATAGTACTTCTCGTGGCGCTCGGCCGGCACGCCGAGTATGTCCCACTCGACGCTCGGGTAGTACTCGCGCAGATCGATGCCGATCTCGACGCTGTCGTGGCCTCGCTTCTGATTGATGTGCTTCAGGTCGATCTGTGTGTACACGTGTGCGATGAGTCACGCGTTTATATATATTTGTAATATTCATTTTTGTACGTGTATATATATACGTGCCTGAAAGCCATCGTAGGTCCACGAGCCGAACTTCATGAAGCAGGTCTGCTGATCGAAGGGAAAGTAGCGAACGTCGATCTCGCAGGACGACTTGAAGATGGCGGGCGGCGTCCAGACGACTTTGCCCGTGTGATGCAGTATGGCCTTGGTCATGGTGGTGACGCCGTACTCGCCGTCGGCGCTGAATAAAATAAATAACGATGACGATGAGATGTATAGCGATGAGAGAAAATCGAGAGGCGAGGAGGATCATAATTGTTTTTTGTCTCGGATTTCTCCGTCGATTCGATCGTTTGCACTGGAGCGAGAGACACCGACACAACCTGTGAATCTCCTGAGTAAATCTACAGGGAGCGAGAATTATTTTATAAAAGTATTTTGACTTTCCCACTTTCAGATTTACAGATTAAAGTACTCGCCATCTAGTGGTGTTGTCGCAATTAAGTCGTCGAAATTGGTCTGAATTTTTTTAAAACAATTGAATTGTCACCGTTAAGCTCGTTTAAATTTTTTGTTCAAATCTTCAAAAGCAAGCCAAATTGTTAATTAATATTTATTTAATAATACTTTACAAGATCATTTATTGGGTCGTTTTTCGCGTCTTTTTGATGGACATTATTGAAAGCAGTCTACATTCGAAATGGTAGACACACAAAACTCTGAAAAGATCGTCTTATATACAAGAGGCGGATCCACGCCTCTGCACATCGTCTGCAGGAGGGAGAAGGACGATCGGCGGACAAGGCGATCTCGTTCTTCGAGGCCTGCCGAGGACGAGAAGGTCCAAAGGTGCAGCTTCGTTTTCCCCGGCGAGAGTTACTTCGGCAGGAGTTATGCAGTACGCGACCAATCCGTGAATCAACTCGGACAAGCGGCCGATGCTCTGGCGCCGGTGATGCTTCTCCAGGACAGGCGTCACGAATTGTTTCGAAGCGACGCCCTGACGATCATGAAATTTTTCACCGAGCGCGGACTGTTCGCGTCGTCGGCGGCGCTGCCGGACTCGTTTTGGCATGAGAACGAGCAATTCGCTAACTTAGCCCACGGCATTGAGCTGAGCGCGGATCTGTCGCTCAGCGACGTTCTAAGATTATCGCTGGACGGAGAGAATATGACGAATCTCCGATTTTATTGGGTCAGCTTGATTCTATTTGAGAGATCAAGACTATTGGCGGAGTTGCCTTACGAAGCCGTCCGGATTTGCATACCAAATCTGTGCGAGATAATATCGAGGGGATTTTTCCGGTCCTGGGCCATAGATACCTGTATGCAATTGATGTTCCTAAAATTACCAGCTATCTGCTGCGACATGATAATCAGTAGCTTAATAAACGAAGATTTATATAACATAACTTTAGCCACTTCAAGCTGCAGCTGTGCATAAAATATATTATATACAATTATTTTTACTTTACCACTTGCCGATTTGTAGATACAAGGGCACTCGCCACCTAGCGGTGGCGGCTTAAACTAGTATTAGGTTGGTACAGGGCCTAAAGCTTTTCAAACAATTAAATCATGATTTTTGAGTAACTTTAAATGCATTTAACATTTATTACACAATCGTTATTAAACAAACGCCAGAAAACAAACAAATTAGCCAATCCGTCGATTATTAATGTTGAGCATTTCCAGCGGGGTAATGTAACGATAATAACAATTTGTACGAGCGACGATGATCGCACGGAGGTCAACGAATACGCATTATGTATGTAACTCACTTGTTGTAAAGGACGATATCCGGCAGCCAGATGTGCTCCGACGGCACGTAGAGCTCCGTCACGCCACCGTACTCCGAGGGATCCCATTTGAATTTGTGATCTTGCCATTCCTGAGTCAATGAGACAACGATGCAAAGATTAATTTTTCATTTTATATACGTATGTACAAGAGGTATACACAGGATGGACTTACGTGTTCGAGCCAGACGTTGGTCGTCAGAATCTGATCTTTTAAATTCTGCGAACGAACAAACAAAAAAAGAATAAAAATAAAACACAAGTGCCAGACCAGAGCCGCTGATCCATATATTATCATGATCATTATTGTACTCACGAGGTCGATGAGCTGCGACAGCCTCAACCCGAGCTTCACCACGACCGTGTCGTTGTTGCTGTAGACCGGCCTGATGAGTCGATTGTAATTCGAGAGCAGATCGTCGTAGAGCCGCTTGGCGTCGGGATTGGCCTCGGCGTCGCGCGCCGCCAGCGTCGTCAGCAGCAGCACGAGCAGTGCCACCAGCAGCGGCGGCGGCGACAGCGGTGCCCAGCGGCGCACCCGCACCAACCACAGCTTGCCCGAGAAGACGCTCGTCATCCTCTCTTTCTGTTTTCGTTGATTTCTTTTCAAACTCTGCTGGCCATGTTTTCACGCACAGACACGCCGACGACGATGTATACTCCGTGTGTGTTTATGGACGCACGCGCGTGATATTTTATTATTATTAAAAAAAAAGCTCTCGGATTCGTAAGTGAGTCGAGCTTTAGCAAGCAGCAGCAACAGCAGCGCGCAGGGATGCCGCTGGAGCAGCACTGAGAGACAGAGAGAGAGGCTGAGACACGCGCGCTAAAGCAGCAAAGTTTAGCAGCAGCAGCAGCACACAACACCAGCAGCACCAGCATCAGTAGTAGCAGAGGAGGGTGAAAGAGGAGAAAGAGGAGGAGGAGGAGGCATCGATTTCGAGGCGCGCTTGCGCGAGCCCACCCCGCGCACAGCGCAGCACTGTTATTCTCTCTCTCTCTCTCTCTCTCTATGTACTGCATCAGCCTCACCCTTTGCTGTGCGCTGCTGCGCTGTCACTCTAGCGCGTACTAGAGCTGCTGCCGTTATCGCGTTCATATAGATGTATGTATGTGTATGTGTGTGTCTGTAATGCCTCGCGATTTAAGCCCGAACACGTTTTTACAGAGGTATACGCGGCTACGAAATGCCGATGTAGATCTCTCGAGATCGCGACGCCGACGAGTCGTCGATCGCTTCGTGGATCCCCGCGAGTCGTTTACGCAATAATATATAAATCAAGCGCGCGCCTGTGTGTATATGTGGAAAGGATCCTCGAAAGCTCGCTTTATTTTGCGCGACGAGAAACGCGTCCCGTGGGTAGCATCGAGTCTTTCTCCTTCCTTCTCTCTCTCTCTGTGACACGCCGCGACGGAGAAAAAGTGTCGCGATTTAACGTCGTCGAAGTAGAGAAGGAAAGCTATATGTAAGAGGGAAAAAATTCCAACTCGGGGCGGTGCGCGCGAGCTTTTAATCGACATAGTTTTCGGTACTTAATTACCGGCAGAGGAGCTCGAGGAACCGTGCTTTTTCTCTCTCTTTCTCTTTCTCTCTTTCTCTGTCTGTCGGTCGCGCGCGTGCAAGCTTGCAGAAGAAATTCGCGAGGGATGAATTTCTCTCTCTTTTCTCTTACTTTTTTTTTATATTTTATACAGTATATCCATGGATAAATCCGCAAGCTGATCTGCTATTGTGCACTGCGGCTAAATCATCGCTCGCGCCCCTTTCCTTTTTTTCATTCCCTACATAGATAGATATAGAATAGAGCTTATACCAATCTATAAATTCGCATTAAAAGTCACGGGCCAAAGCTCTCGGAGCTTGCGAGCCAGCAGCGTTATACGTATATGTAGTAGGGGGGATCGCCTCTGTAATATATATAATACGAAAGATCAGCTGCTGCTGCTGCTGCGCTCCGAGAGATTCTGTAGTGCGCGACGACGACGATGCGGGATCGCTGCTGCTGCTGCTTATATGCATCTATACTTGTGTGTGTGTGTGCAGCTTGGCCGCGCGCCGCACGTGGTCGCGAGGCTGCGGGGCGGGTGTGTCTCGTGGCGGCTCGGCTCGGCTCGTGCGCTCGCTCGCTCGCTCGGCGCCTCCACATGGGGCCGGCATTGGTTCGCTCCCCGGGCTCTCTCTCTCTCGGCGCGCACACCACACACTGTACCGTATACCGATGGGGATGATATGCAGCTGCGCTGCGTTATATATACGTATATATTAGATATAAGGTGTACATGCGCACACGCAGCGAGCGAGCGAGGCGCTGCGCTCTGCTCTCGGCTCTCGTGTGCACCACCACCGCCGCACCTCCTCCCCCTTCTCCTCTCTTTTAACTCCCTCTCGCCCCCCTCTCGCTCCTCCGACCCCCGCCGCTCGTTGCGCACTGCACACAGCACACAGCACACAGCACACAAATATATATACATAGATATATGTGCACACGGCTAGTAGTAGTAAGTATATAGCATATACTGGCCGCGCGTGAGCAGGGCGGAGCAGCAGCGGCAGCAGCAGCATCAGCAGCAGCATTATCGAGAGTAGTCAGCCAGTGTACTTCTAGTCGCGTTCGTCGACGCTACGGAGAGAGAGAGAGAGAGAGAGAGAGCAGTATATATAGTAGCTGCCAGCAGCGCAGTCGCCCCAAAACGGGCCCGCCGTGAGAGAGGGAGTGTAGAGAAAGCCCCGTATGCCTCTTATACGAAATACACAAGATAAAGATAAAGCTCAATCGAGCTTTTTTTCCGTATATCTCTCTCTCGAACGCGCGATTAACTAACAAAAACACAAACACGCACAACGTACACACGTAGAGTAAGTTACACAGATTTGTATACACACACACGTTCACGTACGATCGGAAGAGGAAGAAGAAGAGAAAGAAGAAGAAGATCAAGAAGATAATATGCAAGAGGAAGCAGAAGGTGTCAGTGTGTGTTGAAAAAAAAATCGTTGCCAAAATACGATTCTCCTGTTTGTATTATCATTTTTCTCATCGTAAAGTTTTTTTAGTTCGTTGTTTCGAGGGTTTAACCCCCTCGTGCAGTGCGCGTTTACTTCGCAGTTCTACGAGCGAGCTTTTCCTCGAGCTTGCGAGCACAGTGTTTCGTGTGTAGAGAGAGAGCCGCTCTGCCGCTCGATGTGTCGAATCATCGAAGCCGCCTTCGCCGACGCCTGCGTCGTCATTGCCGCCGCCGCCGCCACCGTGAAGACGAGTAAATCATCAGTCGTTGACCCTTAGAAGTCGCTCTCTCCATCTCTCTCTTTCCTCGCGCATTCATTATCAACGACACGACGACTGCGTCATGCGAAGATGCGAGGAGAAGCAGCGGCTCAGCAGTAGCAGTATGGGGCCGCCGAGCTGGTGCTGGTGCTCGTTGTACGCTGGGCCCTTCCGGCTGGACTTGGCGATGCTGGTGGCTGGAGTAGTTCAGGCTGCGGGCCGCTAGTGTCCAACGACGAAGACGACAACAACAAATCTGCCCTTCACCTTGTTTACCACCAGCCCCCTCCAAAAAAAGCAAGGAGAGAAAGAAAGAGAGAGAGAGACAACTTTACGAAATAATAATACGATATTATTACGACGCGTAACGCGCCAAGGGGTGGCCCAGCCGCGAGTGTGTGCCGCGCGTGTGATGCGCGTCGCGGGCGTGCGCTACGACAGGGCCCCGAGGGCTGCTTGCGACAACGACGAGCAGAAGAATCAGCGCTATCTGCCAGCGCGCGAGGACTCGACGATCGGATCGAGGCGGCGAAGAAGAGCCAAGACGACGACTCGACGGCGCGAGCTGCGGCGATAGCCCCCCTGGCGCCGCATCGTCGTCGTCGTTGTCGAGGAGTCGTCTCCGGCAAGCGGCAGCCGCAGCAGCAGCCGGCAGGGGCCCGCGGGCGATGTGCCCGGCCCGAGGAAGCTCTACGTGAGTATTATAACATCATCATCGTCGTGCGTATATCGTTACGAAAGAGAGCGAGAAAAAAAATAATAATGAAACATCGTCGAGTGACAACGACGACGAGTGAGCTTGCAGCTGCAGCAGCCCCTCCCGCGAGGGGCTGGTACATTATATACGCGCTCACGTATATAAAATATATATCTAACGTCGCGACACACGACTTTGTCATCGCAGTCATTGCAGCCGCTGCTGCTGCTGCTGCTGCTGAACGCGAACGAGCAGAGCAAAGCAGCAGCAGCAGCAGCAGCAGCAGCAGAGTCGAGTCGAGCGGGTCAACGGCTCCTCCAAGCGGCGTCGCGCGTAATTGATCCCCCGCACCACACACAGCCTCTCTGCTGCTGCTGCTGCCTCCTCCTCTGCTTCTACCACCTCTTCCCTCCTCTGTATGTGTATGTGTATGTGTGTGCGTTTTACCCCAGTGCAGTGTGCAGTGTGCAGCAGCAGCAGCGAGTGTGTGTATATGCGGGGGGCTGCTGCTGCTGTGTCTGTATATAAGAGTGCTGAATGGCCGACCACACCTCGACTCGTACTACTGACTCGCTGCGACTCTCTGCGACTGCTGCCTGCGATTCTCTCTCTCACTCGCGCACGCGACGAGACGACGATGACACTAAAAAGCAAAAAATGCGTGTTTTTCGCACGATATCGTGTATGTAGGCACGAAGTCGAGATTTATTGGCAAGTATATACAGCGATGAAGTTTGATTCGACGAATTGCTGATTCGATTTCGGGCCGGCATCAATACGAAACTTTTATTATTAAACATTATCTAGCATAAAAGTCAGTCGATCCAATACCGACCATAGTTTTTCTATCTCTCACACGTACGAAGGGGAGGAGGGACGATCAAACACGTTCTCTCTCTCTCTCTCTCTCTCTCTCTTTCGCACGACTATAGGCGGGGGGTAACAGCGGCGCATCGCGTACCGCCAGCTCGCGTATAGATATATCGCTTATATACGTTGTTGCCTAGCCATATAGCCAGCCGCCGACTTTTATCGGGGCATTCGGCGCGCGTAGTATATACAAGGCCGTAAAATAAATTAAGTTCGTCATAAATCTGGTCTGGAAATCGTAACCTCCGCGAGTCGCCGCTGCACACACCGCCCCGAGGGGGAGCAGCGGCGCAAGCTCTCTTTCTCTCTCTCTCGCGTGACTGTGTCTGTGTGTGTCATGTACAGCAGAAAATAGCTCCGTATACGTGTATGCGTACGTCAAAATGAGAAGCAGAAAGCGAGCTTTTGTTCAGCGTTCGGAGGCGCGCAAAAGCTCGCGTACACACACACACACACGTATATAAATTCGCGCGCGGCGTGTGTATTAGTACATATATAAATATGCTTTGTCGAGGTTCAAGTTGGAACAAAGTTCCGCCGCGTTTGTCAGCAGGACACAGGCAAATATACACTGCGAGAGGCCGAGAGCTGACACATGCTGCGCGAAGGCTTTGAAGTATCTTGCGAAACTGGAGTGCACAAAGCTTTTACACACACATACACTCGCGCGCGCGTGGTGCACCCATACCCCAGCGCGAACTTGAACATCCACACCCATATATATGGGCGGCTTGTTTGATTCTTGCGGTGTCGCGTTTATTTCGCATCGACCTGACAAAAGTACGAGCGAGAACGCCTTTACTTATTTATTCATCTTTTTTTTTTTTTGAGTGTGTACAAGATTCTCGAGTTGTGTCGACCGTCGAGCTTTTTTCGAAGCTTTTTTTTTTTTTTTGGGTTTTGGCGACGAATTACTCACGACTGCCAAACGCACGTAATGCACACAAGGCAAAGTGAATTCATTATATATATTTACAGTAATGCAACGCAGTGGCGGCGGCGCACGCATTATACGCGCGCTGCCAAATGTGAAAATGAGATTTATCGCGAGCCCGCGCAAGCTCTCACTCTGGCGTTTTATATTTACTCGGTCGAAAATTACACGTACGTATACGTACGTAACCGCTGCTTGGTTCCCCGCCCTATATACTCTCTCTCTCTCTCTCCCCTTTCTCGCGGGGCATATAATTCGAAAAACATACGACCGTGCCGTTACGTCGTCGACGTCCCCCGCGTCCACGTCCACGTCGTCGTTCGCAATTTCCGAGTCGCGTTCGTAGCGAATTAAATCCTTTTTCACCGTATATATAGATGTATATTATATAAATTTTCGATGATGGAAAATTTCAGAGCTTAATAAAGCACTCGTTCGCGAGTACACGCGCGCGCGCGAGCGCACATTTATAATGCGCCAAAAGAGCGCGAGAGAGAATGTATTTTACCCGAGGTTGGATCGAATTTCGAACTTTGTGGTATACTCTTCGTTTTATATCGCCACTCTGTTTTTTTAAATATATGCGTATGAAAATAAAACCTCGGGATTGATTGTTTGTTCACGCTCAAGCAGGTGTATACAGATATGTACAGCGCGAAAAAGAAATGAAAAAATAAGCGCGGATGCGCGCGTTATATTATTATATGCTGCAGGTGTTTGTAAAAGAAAAAAAAACAGCGAACGGATGTTGCCTCTCTCATCGTTTGGTGGTAGCGATGGTGGTGGTAAATATCCGTATAGAAGAGTCTCGTCGAAATAGGTTATATTTGCGAACGAAACGCCAGGTTTATACAGTTGGCACACATATATAGTATAATTATGATAAAAAAAAGCTCACCCTCTCTCTCTCTCTCTCTCTCTCTCTGTTTTCATAGCTCATTGTGTACCAATTAGTGGAAAGGCAAATGAAAGCTTCAGTCTAACGGAACAATGAGTTCTCTCTCTCTCGCTCTTCTCTCGCTCGACTTTTTGGCCCTTCTTTTTTTTTTTTATTTTGTTCTCTCTGATACTTCCAGCGCGCCGCGCCGCACCCGTTGCCTATATAATATCTATATCTATATCTCTACATTGTATATGTACATAGGTACACGTGCCTCCAGTGCATACACCTTGTATACCTCGGTACATCCATAACACAATGTAAAATTGTGCGCGCGAGCTTTCGTCGTTTTAACACAAAATTGAATAATCCAAGCTCTCGGGCTCGGTCTCGTTTACTCGTTCGTCACGCACACATCATCATTTATAAATCTCTCTCTCGCCGCGGTGCATTACATAGTTATCGATATTACGCGGTACAAAGGAGAATAGAATAGAGAGAGAGCAAAAAAGAAAAAAAAAGGGGGGAAAGTATGACGAAGCTGAAAAAATAAAACGCCGTTGGCGCAAGGAAGAAACGCGCGCGGGGCGCACGCAAAGGCGCAGCCGCGCAGCGAGGCGTAGAATTGCGGATACGTCGTCGTCGACACGGTACACGGTACATATCCACCACGTATATATGTATGCATGTGCAGCGCATTAAAAAGTTAACGTTGCAGCGTCGGGTTGCGCGCGCGCCCCGCGTTGTGTGGTGGTAGCAGCAGCAGTACACCATGCATAATATCGCTGCGCCGCTGCTGCTAGCATATAATCAGGACGTTGGCCAACTCTCTCTCGGTTGCTGTACTTTTATATATATTGTATACGTGTATGCGCGTAATATACGTACGATACAAGAGAGAAAATATACAGATAATTCGTGCGCTGCGCCATGTAGTTTCTGCAATTATCGAAGCGCAGCGTTAAATCAGCAGCTGTGCGTTCAATTTATTTTCCTTTCTTACTTTCTACATGCTTCTATATATGCTTCCACTTATTCTTCTTCGACAACGAAGAGATGCGCGCGCATTTATTTAAACAACAATGCGAGACAGAGAGAGAGAGAGAGAGCTTGCGTATAATATGCGAGCTTGCAGAGGAGTGTGTTCGGGTATATTATATATTTTGGACGGAATGAGAGAGAGAGAGCCAAAGATGTCTCGAATTTCAAGGCGAGTGTACGATTTTCGACAATGCGCTTTCTCAGGAGCTGCTGCTGCTGCAGGATGAGTAGACTATGTGCGCGATGTATGTATGTTGCCCAGGGGCAGAGATAGAGAGAGAGAGAGAGAACAGCAGCAGCAGCAGCAACTACGCGAAGCAGCTCGACAAAGAGAGAGAGAGCGAGTGAGCGAGGGAGAGAGATGGCGAGCTTTTGGCCTAGCTCTTTTCTCTTTTCGCGCGCTACGTACTATAACGTTCTCGTTGTCATATCGTCATCGTAGCGTAGTCGAGCTGCAAAATGCAAGGACGCGACTTTCCAGCACGTTTTTTTTCTCTCACTCCTCTTACTCCATCAACTACATTTCTGGGCACTCTCTCTCTCTCTTTTTTGATATTTATTTCGTCTACGTAGCACTTCTCTCTCTCTCGCTCTTTTTTCTCTCTCGATACGTATTACGTAGCACACGTGCCCTATAGAAGTGTACGTTTATATCGATAATGCCGTTCGACGCCTCGCTCGATTGCGCGCTTATCGAATGATTCGCAGTCGCACGGATCGGGCTCGTAGTAGGTATGTATATACATAATGCACCTCTGTGTATAGCTGCGCCGCTGAACATAGAAGTGGTATTGTACAGGGCTGCTGCGCGTCTCACTTTTGCCGCGCGCGCAAAGTAGCTAAATTCATTCGCTGTATATAGATGTATATATAGATGTGTACGCGTGCACGGCACGAGCTCCATAATATCCCTTTTATTTTGCTCACGCCTTTGGAGCATTGGTATATACCTGCTATATATACAGTGGTAGTAGGTAGCGGGTGGCAATGTAGCGTGTACGACTCGTGTACGTGTCAACAGTCACGAATTGCTCAGTTAATTGCACTTGTACCCCGAGCTCGCAGAGTCGTCGTTGACTTTTTCTCTCTCTCTCTTTTCCTCTTTCTCTCTTTCTCTCTCTCTCTACATTCGTTTCTCTCTGAACGTTCGTTTCGTCGTTGCGGGTTCTCGAGGCTTAACCTTGATTAAATTTTGCATCGATGACTGCTTCTTGTGTAACGGCCGCCGCCGCCACCCGTTTTTACTTTTTTTTTTTTTAAAGGCCTCAGCCC